ACTCAGTGGGCTGTGTCTGTGAGTTAATTTACTCGTCGAGCCCTTCGTCGCAAACGACGGGTCGGCGAGGACGGTGACCGGTGCTTGAGGTACCTAAAAGCACCGTTAATGGATCGAGAGGATCCGTAATGACGTGTTTTTAAGGCCAATGACCTCTGGTAGCCATTCAACGGCGGGTGGACTGTGTGCCTCTCCGTCATAGCATTACGGAAGCAGTTCCGGTAGATTTTATAAGTTTGGTAAAAATTTTAAATTCTTAGGGGAATTATTCAATATGATCCCTAAATCTTTCTTTTGCCATCACATCGCCGGCCACCGCCGTAGAGTTCACTATCTAAAAACCACTATCGTAAAGGATAAGACGTCCAGTGCATTCGTATTGAGCGATGCAACGATGTTCGAATCATACGGGCGGGTACCAATTTTTCTAATGAAATACGTACTTATTTGTTAAGTACGAGTTCACGATTGACTTCCACGATGAAGGAATAACATCGTGTAATAAAAATCAAGCCCGTAAAATTATAATTTGCGTAATTACTGGTGGTAGGACCTCTTGAGTCCGCACGGATAGGCACCACCACCCTGCCTATTTCTGCCGTGAAGCAGTAATGCGTTTCGGTTTAAAGGGTGGGGCAGCCGTTGTAGCTATACTGAGACCTTAGAACTCATACCTCAAGGCGAGTGGCGGCATTTACGTTGTCTATGATCTTCGGTAACCACTTAACACCACGTGGGCCGTGAGATCGTCCACCCATCTATGCAATAAATAAAAAATAAATAAACCACTAGGTACGTTCATCCACAATACATTTACGAAGATCTTTTTTGTCACGTGTCATTCAGCTTTGGAATGTACTTTTCTCTCTACTGGTTTTCTCAAGCATTTTATAATAAGCTCTTCTTCTAATAAGGCCTAAGGAGAGTCCTCATCAATAAGCACCGTCTTGTGTGTGCCCATGGTATTGCTGATGTCCATGAGTAAAACGTAAATTTAAACGTAAACCTTTATGCGTAAAGATCATGAAACTATACTATTATTAACAAAAGTTCACGTGACGATATCTCAACGGAACTCCGAAAGCTATGTTTTTAAATGAAAAATTTAATATACAACTAAACATTAACGGTGACTTGGCAGGAGCAATAGCGCTGGCGACGGCCCAATCCCTCCACATGCCATCACAAAATGGTCACAGCGCGTACCGCCTTCATTTGGCAATATTTCACTGCATAATAATTTACATTCAATTTATAATTCAAATGTTTAATGAATCATGTTATACTTAGTCTGGCCATAAATACTGTTACAATTAAAAATTCAAAATTTTCTATTGCAAATTACATTGATTACTTTTACAGTGTGTTAGTTTAATACATAAATATAAAACAATTTAAAGTATAAAAAAAGCTTATTAAGAAGTGGTCTCCATTGGCTGCAATACAGTTCTTTAAACGTTGAGACCAGTTATCAATAGAAGCACGCACTCTTTCCAAGGGAAAATTTTTCACTGCCAATCGTACGGATTGTTTTAGGGACACTAGACGACGGCCAGTCTTCAGCTCTGATGAAGTCCGAAACGTTCGTTTCCAACGAAGACTGCGTAGACCGAGCCTTATGACCTGGCGCCGAGTCTTGCTGGAAGGACCATTCTGATTATTGAACATGGTATTGTTACGGGGCTTCACTACCTTCTAAAGAATGGTATCTTGATACACTTGTGCCGATGTTTTGATACCTTTTTCACAAAAGTATGGCTCAGTCACTCCTTCATAGCTAATACCCCACCAAACCATCGCCGAAGTCGGATAGTGCCCACGTTGCACTCTGTCGACTAATTGGGAAGCTTCCTTAGAACTTTCAGCATAAATACGGTCATTTTGTTAGTTAAAATGTTGCTCAGTTGTAAAAAAATTCTCATCCGTAAACAAAATTTTTCTATGACCTCCCTTTGCGTACCGCTTCAGTAGTTGTTTCGATTTTACCCCCCTATTCTCTTTTAAATGATCAGTTAAGAAATGACCAGTACGTCTCTTATAGGCTGCAAGTCCTAAGTCGTCTTTTAAAATACGCGACACGGTTCTAGGTGCTAGCTTCATCTTTTGCTTTCGGACAGGATTTCTTCGAATTCTTTCCCTTACTGCATTGACCACCTTTTCCGTAAGGACACTACGTGGACGGCCAGATATTTTTCTGTCACAAACAGAGGAGGTCTCATTGCACCTATTAATAGCCCGGTACACAAACATTTTACTAATACCAAGCGTATGGAGAGTTTTAAAAATTGCATTTGGCTCCATACCTACTTTGTGTAATGCAATCACAGCGATTCGGTTCTCTTTATCACCCCACTCCATTTTAATATCGCAAAANGTCTCATTGCACCTATTAATAGCCCGGTACACAAACATTTTACTAATACCAAGCGTATGGAGAGTTTTAAAAATTGCATTTGGCTCCATACCTACTTTGTGTAATGCAATCACAGCGATTCGGTTCTCTTTATCACCCCACTCCATTTTAATATCGCAAAATATTGTACAATGTATTGGCGCCAAAATGAGAAAACTCAATAAGCATAGATTATACACCTCAATGAGCAATCATATAAAAATGACAGATTCCAAATTCAAATGTAATATTTTGTTTATTTTTAATTGTAACAGTATTTATGGCCAGACTAAGTACATACTACGTAGCTGTGCCGAGAGGTATATTCTGGAGCCAGCTTGCAGCTAAAATAATTACTTGAACAGTAGTAAAAATGTACACGTAGTAAAGATGGATAAAATAATTTCAAGAAATTGGACAGTCTCTTGTTTCGAACCATAATCATGAGAAAAATCGTTAAAAAAAATATAAAAGTGTTGTCAATTGAAAATTAAATGAAACAAATTCAGTTTAGAAATATATTTTATTCAAAAGAATTTAAACGTTTACATAAATTTAATATTTTATACCTGCTAGTTTATGTCGTGAACTGTATTATAGTTTATTTTTCTTTGTACGTGGGCGTTCAATAAGCATTTGCTCATTAATATTTAAGGTTTATATTATAAACTTATACTTTTTAATGCTCATTTCCATAAATATATACATAAGTATTTCTATTTAGTATTTATATTATAACTATGATATGTTTTTATTTTAGACATATAATAACAATATTACTATGTGTATTTCTTCTTCTAAATTGTGTAAATTTTACTATCTATTTCGTTGTTCATTTTATACACCAAGAAAACCAATCAGCTTAACTAGCTGAAATAATATATTTGTTTACCGAGTTAACCCTGAATACTTTTTGTGTATTGTGAATAGTTCATTGTGAACACGCAATCTAATGCAAAGGCGGCCATTTTGCATGCCATGAGAGCGTTGAACCCACGGGTTGGCGGTTTCTTTTATTTTTATTACTTTGACTTTAACAAAAGTACCAGAAATCACATTCTCTTCGGGAATTTTTCTTTAGACTCCTATCAACCATAAATGGTGTAATGGAATCCTTTAAAAAAAACTAAAGTACCTAATTGGTAAAACGTATACTTTTGTAATGCATTTTAAGTTTAAAATTCAGTTGACACATGGGTTAGTCTCTGGAAAACGCGGGTAGCCCAGCTTTTCCATAATATTTGCACTACATTGGTGCTTTACAATGTTTAATGAATAATTAACAGCTTGCGTTCAGATCGAGTTAGTAGTTTGTTCCCGTGTCGGTTTTCGGAATGGTATTTTTAAACCCTGTAAAAATAGCTGCTATAATATTCTATTGGCGTATTTGATTAATTTTCTAAGTCCCAGATCCCATTATAGCAGTAAATCAGTTAATAATAAAGTGCTCGAGAATATCATTAACTACAAAAGGCACATACATTGTAAATCTCTTAACAACAAAATATATTTTGTTCAAATGTGTTCGTTTATTGTAACACATTTAACTTGATGCCGGGCGCATTTCTCGTTTTTAAATATAGCACAACAAACAAAGTATTACGACCGTTGAGGACATTTAAATAAAACTATTACATATTTAATTCATTTTTGTTTTTAAAAATGCGACGGATGTAAATTTTACTAATTAAAATAATTTTTTTATATTTTATTTTTAGACATTATTTATTTACATAATATATTTATGTTTTGCTTCCACAGTGGTTTCTATTCATTAAAAGTTTTTCAGGTTTTTCGTGGCTTGAACCACAATATGTAGCTGCATATTTCTTTAAATATTATTTAATATCACGATTCACAAGTTACACTTGCCTCTTTGGCACAATGAAATTTTCATAATTTATCAAAATTCAATCACATTTTTATATTTTGTATATTTATGATAAGCATTTAATTATATTTATTTTTTATTTTCATTCGTTTATGAATAAATCACCGGAAGGAATTTCAGGTCACTCTCTCAAGTTGTTCATACTTCGTATATTTTTTTAACCTCCTAAATAGTTAATATATAATAGGCATACGTATTAGACATAATTTATTTTATTAAAACATTTTTATCTTTTATATAGAGATAAGCATTGATGATTCATTGTCTCCATTCGGATTCGTGGGTTGAGTTATTATTTTGAGATGCTGAAAATACTTCAAAATTTCCAAAAAATAACGATTTAATTATTAAAGAAGGTTTATACAGAGTGTATAGGAAATATTCATTAAAACGAATACAAAGGATTGTGGTTCTACCAAGTTATATATAGTGTAATTATGTTTTATATTACACTCAATATAATATAAGATCAGGTGACGCGCGGAATCTATGATCACGGGATGCATGTTACATTGCGGGTTATATGTGAGTCTTATCTTAACGACCGTCTGGTGTAGTGGTGTGATAACATGGTCACTACACAAGGGGGTCGCGGGTTCGAATCCCGCCAAGGGAATTAATTTGTTTGATAAATATAAAATGTCTTTTACAGGGTTATGGATGTATATTAAATATGTGTATGTGTATAATAAAAATCTTACATTTATTTCCGTTATCTGGTACCTGTAACACAAGTTCTTTACGAACTTACCACGGGACCAGTTAACGTGGCGTGATTGTTAGTAAATATTTATTATTTATTTATTTATGAACTGACTAAAAAAGTAACTATGCATTGCGTAGTAAAATAATATTGTTATCCCTTCACGTTAAGTTTTTCATTTAATCGCATTTCGATTTCGTGAATGATGATTTCACACCCTGTATATTCTATCTGACTATATTTGCATAAAGGGTGTCCTTTTTATTTAGAATCAATTTTTTTTTAACTTTTCATTTCAATTTAACAGTTAAATAGTCCCAATCTGAATCGTATCAGAACACAAAATGTTGAGTATTTTTCATATAACAGAATTCTTCTTCGGCGCTGATACTCTAGGAGAATTCGAGTAAAGTTTCTTGAAGAGACCTTGTATGTTGTTGTCGGGAAAGAGATTGGTTAGGGTTACTGAAAATATGTAATAAACGATTAATAAATAAGGTATGCCCTGCCTATTTCTGCCGTGAAGCAGTAATGCGTTTCGGTTTGAAGGGTGGGGCAGCCGTTGTAACTATACTGATATGTTAGAACTTATATCTCAGATGGGTGGCGCATCTACGTTGTAGATGTCTATAGGCTCCAGTAACCAATTAACACCAGGTGGGCTGTGAGCTCGTCCACCCATCTAGGCAATAAAAAAATAAAAAAATATGCCTAAAAAAGTCTTAAAACTGATATTATGCCATGATTTAATTAATGTAATTTAAAAAATAACATTTGGAATTAAGACAGGGGTACTTAGACATCTTCGCACAGAGCGAGTGCTACTATGTCTCACGTAAGCTTTGACGTTATTACTAACTATAGTGTATATTCTCTATCTAACATAAAATTATAATAAAAATCTTTTTTTTTTTTAGAGTTTAATTTTGTTTTTATTGATCGCTTTGTTTCTAAAGCCGCAGTCTCAGGCTAGTTATGATAATATTTATACTAAAATAAATATTATTAACAATGCAAAAGGTTTGTAAACGTTCCCATAATAACTACAATAGTCATTTTATTGATCAGCTAATTTATATGAAGATCTTATGGCATAATTATTTATTTCAGTCTTTCTGAATATAACAATGCAACAGGATAATTAACTTATTAACGGCTTACCTTCCAACAAAACGAATATTAAGCGTCTGTTGATTTCTTGTATTTGGAATAAATCGAATACTGTGAGGAGACCTCTTCGTGCTGAATCTGTACCGACTATATGTTTGAGATCATCTGAAATAGAATACGCTTAAAGTACACCATTAAAAAATACAACTAATTTTACATGAACACACAAACCACCAATATCAAGAACTCAAAATTAACAAAAATAAGGAGGTTCTGAAGTCAACTGCACTTTTTTATATGTACGTTAGCCTCAGAACTTTTCAGTATTTTTTGAGTTAACCTTAATAATGTATATTTAGTTGACTTCGATATACATTGACGATATTCTCTTTTTATTCTATTTTATTCGTTGAAATTTTGAAGTTAATAGATACGTGCTAATATCGACGACCTTACCAGAGCAGGCCGAGAGCAATGCAACTTTAGCGGCAACCCTAGTTCTCGCTTTAGTCGCCGCATCCCTTTCGCTGTAACTGGCACTGTGTCGGCTAGTTAACCATTGCCTGGAAAATTTGAATTGAACAATCAAATCAAATAACTTTTGATCGAACGTTAACAAGAAATCACTAATGATCACTCCGGTTTGAGCCCCGTGAGCTCACCTACTAGTTAAGGTTACGCTGAAATAGCATCTCAAGGATATCAGCTTAGGTTTGAGAAAGAAAAAAAACGAACGAATAAGAATAAGGCAGGGCATCGAGTGATTCGATTTTTAGGGGCTTTGAATTTTACAACTGCTCAAAAATTAAAATAAATTAAATTATGCCTTAAGGTTCACAGTGTGGGAGAGTCGTATTACAATACTACTGATACCGTTTTTATAGCATCGACATGAGCTCAATTAATCTCTCGTATGTCAGAACGTAGATCAACGCTCTAAAATAAAGTGCAGTAGTCTGCCGGAGCGCAGATCTATGCATAATTATATACATATTAAAAACTTTTTTTTTCACCTGTAATAGAGTTCAGATCTGCCTAAAACGTGTTGAATGTATGAACTAATTAAACAAAAGAAACTAAGAAACATCAGTCAAATATTTTTGTCTGTGCAACATGCAGACGCCGGTTACTTTGAATTTAATGAATGAGCTCACATCCGATGTTGTTACTTGGATGGCCTTTTTTTCTTGCACCGAATAGTTGATTTTCCTGTCTCATTAACTGTCTAAGGATAGCTTGCATAATAAAAAATTAAAAACAATTTACTTATTCGGAGCAAAACTCACTTGAACGTTTTCAAATACTGAACCACGTTGCGAGGTGACGTCAACGACGATACCAGTTCTAAAACTTTCCTGTCAAATAATAAACAAAAATCTAATATAATGTGAATAATTCCAAGTTGTAAATGTAAATTTAGTCAGCCCGCAATCTATATCAAACTGTATTCGGAGTCAATGACCGCGATGACAGTTTTTTTTTGAAGTGAAACTTCTTTATCGGCGTTGGAAAAAAATTTACCGTCACATTTTTCGGTTACGCGTCACATTTTTCCGTTACGCGCCATCTTTTTTGTATTCATGTCTATGATAATAAAATCCTTTTGTTTAAACTTTATCTAATTTAACTTTTTTGTATTCATGTCTATGATAATAAAATCCTTTTGTTTAAACTTTATCTAATTTAACTTTATTTAACCAATTTCTAGAAAGTTGCATGTAGATCATTTTTCGAAAAATAAGGCCATAAAGAAGTTTCACTTCTTACGTGTGTACACTAGTACACGCACACATTTTTTTTAAATGTTGTCTACAAGGTGAACGATATCACAGCCCAACTGATGTCATATGGTCAACAGAGCTCGTAGACGTCACAAGAAGAATGCCGCCACCTACCTTGAGACATAAATGAGGTCGAAATCCCTGCTTATTTCTGCCGTGAAGCAGTAATACGTTAATGTAATTGTTTAATGTAATTAATTGTGAATAAAAAAAAATCCTTACATTATAAGTTAGATTAGTTTTCGTTATCGTGTTGTTTTGTCGTAAGGAACGTTATTGTACAAATTCAGCACTATGTCTTGTTTTGTCGTGCGCACATAACTTATTTTGCAAGCCAGATTTTGTTTCTTCTTACTTGTGTTCTTTATGCATCTTTTTAGCTTGTGATGTGTATTTTGAGCCTAATAAATAAATAAAATACCTGTTCACGCGATCCGCAATGAGGGTTCTGAGTGGTGCAAGTAGTCGACGTCTGAGCCACAACCCTCGGATGCCAAGCACTTCTTCCAAGAGCTTCAGCGCCATGCTTTCATCGCCGTCCTGTACATTTACAAATTAAACAACAGTGAGTGATGAGGTCGTGTGGCAAAATCCACTGAGTTTCTCGTCGGATCTTCTCAGTGAGTCAGGATTCCGAATCGGTGGTAGGTTTGCTAGTGCTAACAAATGATTTCAGGCTGACCCCTGTGAGCTCGGCTATACATTCGGTTTTAAGAAATTTTATGACCTGGTAACTAAGAACTTTGGGTCAAGTCTTATTTTAATATGAAAAATTATGTTATGAAATGAAATGAAGTTGATTAATATGAAAAATGGCATGAAATGAAATAAAATGAGATGAGGTGAGATGAAGTGAGATGAAATATAATCTCAATAAAATGGTGGTCATTTACTGAGACTTTTTCAGTGGACTTTTTGGAGGATCGCGAGAAGTTACGTTCAGCGGCTTTGTTTCATTTTCCCACATTTTTTCACTTTCACAGGTACTAGACAGTTAATAAGCCACCGATATTTTCACATTTAAATCTGAAAAAACACTAAATAGACAAAATAAAACTAATCATACAACTTCACTCTTCGCGTCCCGTCAAAAAGTCCACATTCGGTAAAGCCAACATAACCCCTCGAGGTTACTAACAGTGGGTAGTCATAAAAAATAAGTTGCATGGGATTACTGTTTAATACAGATCTTAGCATAGAGCCGAAAATCGCCTATCTTTGTTAATAATTTTAACGCTGTTTAATATAAGTCTTAGCATAGAGTCGAAAATAGCCTATATTTATTAAAGGTGCCCAAGAGATTTTTATTTTAGTCGTTCTCATTAAATTAATCGAAATTTAAAGTGTTTTAAAGCATAGTCGTTAATAAACATACGTGTAATCCCTGAAAAAAATCATAGTAAAAAAAATTGGCATAGTAGTAGTACATAGGAGATGATAACTTTCTTTACGTTTAATTTAAAATAAAACACTTACGTCTTGTCCGTCGGTCGCGTTGCCGGTTTTAATGCCGTCATAGTAATTTTCAGTGTTCTTTCCTTGGAAGACCTTTGAGATTCCTGGAAGAGATGAGGAAGACAAACGACTGGTCAGAAGTGACAGACATGTAAAGAGAAAATACAAGGTTACCCGTGTCATTATTATAGTTACGCCGGTTAGAGTAACGCCATCTATCGTCGAATAGCCGAACGAATATCGAAGGATCTAGTAACATCTAGAACGCTCGAGAAGTACAACGTCATCTATTGTCAGATAGCGGAAACACACGTAGAAGGTACTCAACTTGTGAGGAATGTTCTCGAGGAATTTAGGGATATCGTATCGACTATAAAAGCGTTGCAGAGATGGCACGCAGTTAGTTAGTAATCGGAACTATTCGAAGGAAAACAGCTAATATTAAAGTGTTCTAAGTGATAAATACAGTTTTAAATTGTACTTTGATGGAACATTTATTTATCCCGAACACCAGCGCGTAAAAATATTATAAACACTCTTATACGTTATTTGTTCCTAAATACTTAAATCGAATCTTTAAAAAACCTGGTCGCAGAATAATACGTTATAATTTTTATTTTATTTTTTAATTAATTCGTCAATGATTCAAGTCAAAAATGAAGTCATCCATAGAGCTAAAGCCTACTGTGTAAGAATATGAAGTAGGTAATCCATGGACTATAGAGTTAAAGCCTACTGTGTAAGATTCGAAGCCCATTCGAATAACCTTGCTAAGCATTTAATGGACAACCAAATGACTACAATAAGACTCAGAAGAAGAGTGCCTCAAGATCTACTAGACATGTCATTGTGCATGTACCGTAAAATATTGTTTTTCTCAAAACTACGATTGAGTGTCTTAAGACAGCTTAAAGTATAGAAAAATACATCAAATTCCAGTGCGTTTGTCCAATTGAATTTAATAGTCCATAGACTTTGAAATACGTTTACCGTCCATAACTCCGTCGACAGTGTTCACGAACTGATCCGGCATATTTTTCAATGTCCTCATTCCGGCTCTCAGGGGGTTCACGAGAAGCGCATCGATCTATTAACAACAATCAAAGACTCGATAAATTGAATATAATATATCATTTTAGAAATTTTCACAATACGCTAAGTTCATAAACACAAAGCTAACCAGTTATTGTTAGGTCATTAATGCAAACAAGAAAATATCTAAGATTACTAGCAGATTTGCAAGTCTTCGTAGCCTAAAGCCGGTTCATTCATATCTAGCGATGCAACGGTGTTCGAATCCCGATAGCAATTACCAATTTTTTCTAATGAAATACGTATTTAGCAATTGTTCACTATTGACTTCCACGATGAAGAAATAGCATCGTGTAATAAAAATCAAACCCGTAAAATTATAATTTGCGTATTTACTGGTGGTAAGACGTCTTGTGAGTCCGCACGGGTAGGTACGACCACCCTACCTTTTGCTGCCGTAAAGCAATAATGCGTTTCGGTTTGAAGGGTAGGGCAGCCGTTGTAACTATACTGAGATCTTAGAACTTAGATCTCAAGGTGGGTGGCGCATTTACATTGTAGATGTCTATGGGCTCCAGTAACCACTTAACACCAGGTGGGCTGTGAGCTCTACCACTCCAGCTCTTCCATTTCAGCTCGAATATTTCTCATTGCTCACCGTATTACTATGTTTTTCGGTTTGATTGACCGGACTGAGGAATCCCCCCAAGTAGTCCCGCGACAGCAGCGCCATGTACTTTGCCTCCCTCGAAAGGCTGGCCAGAGTCTGAAGGTAGCCGTTCAGTATCCGTTTCCTGTTCTCCAAAACTACTCGTGACGTATTCTGAAACGTTTTTTTAGCCGGAAATGGAACGTTCCCAAGTTCTGGCCACTGGAATAAAAATTTTCGATTGTTGTTAATAAAATTTATTATCAAATGTAGAAGTGTCTATACCAGTGGTGGGCAACCATTTTTAATGGCGGGCCACAAAGTTTAAGAAATTCTAGAGGAGGACCAGAATAGTAGAAAAATGGTTTTTTTTCCAATAAATAAACTAATACCTGTGACAGACTGCCGAGATAATTATAATGATGGTAAGTTAATTATGAGATAGTGAAAGCTCAAAACACCCCTGACGAATTGGAGCTTTCATTCAAAATTCGAAGATTTTCAATTATAAACGTCAGATTTTACTTTACGCGCCAAAATGCTGACTAGAATATTTAGGATGGACTCTCGGCGGGCCGGAATAAATACTTCCGCGGGCCGGAATAAATACTTCCGCGGGCCGTACTTTGCCCATCACTTGTCTATACCGTAGCATGGTTTATTTTTTCAAAATACTCACTTTTTCTTTAATAGAGCAATGCAGGTCATAGAAATCACTGTATCTCCTATATATGTGCCACACCTCGTTGTCTGAAAGTCTCGTAACGGCTATGGCGTATATACCAAAGGCTCGACCTTTGTCTTGTACTAGTGCTGGGAAAGAATTTCTTCATCAGAACGAATTATTTTCTTGAGTATCTAAGTTCAAGAACTTCTTCATCAGAACCAAATATTTTCTTCAGTACCTCTTATTTTAATTTTTTATTGCCCTTGTAGGCAGACGAGCATACGGCCCACCTGATGGTGAGTGGTTACCGTCGCCCATGGGCTTCAGCAATGCCAGGGGCAGAGCCAAGCCGCTGCCTACCGCTTAATACTCTCCACAAGCCTCGTTTGAAGAAGTACATGTCATAGCGCTCGGGAAACACCGTGGAGGGGAGCTCATTCCATAGCCGGATGGTACGTGGCAAAAAAGACCTCTGGAAACGCACTGTGGATGATCGCAGTGGCTCCAGGTAGTATGGATGAACTCCAACCTACGTCCAATAGGCGTGTATGTATCGAGGCGTACTTATCAAGAACGACTTTCGCAATGACGGTATTATATCACTCGACATCTTTAATGTGCAAGGGTCTTACAATCATTATACAATAGAACCTAAGCTTCACCATCGCGGCCCAAGATGTCTGAATTCACATTATGATTTGTATGGGCTTTGGTAGCCATGCAAACTTTTTACTGGTGGTTGGATGTCTTGCGAGTCCGCACGGGTAGGTACCACCGCCCTAACTATTTCTGCCGTGAAGCCGTAGTGCCTTTCGTTTTGAAGTGTAAGACAATAGGTGTACTGTAAAAATGAGACCATAGAACTCATATCTCAATGCAGGTGTCGGCATTAACGTAGTAGATGTCTATGAGCTCCCCTAACCACTTAACACCAAGCGGACCGTGAGCTCGTCCATCCTTCCAATCCATCCTTCGAATTAGAAAAAATGATTTCTGATTAGAAAAAAAGAAAATACCAAATGAGCCATGAGCTTTTCTCATGTAGGTAACATTAGCAATAAAATATAATTTTTATTTGACTTAGCCAATGAATATTGTTTTCTTGTAATTTGTGGTAATGTACACCCTATACAGTAAGATAAAACATCGAATATCCAATGTATTTCAATCTTTCAATCTAAATGAGTTATATAACTCACTCAGATGATTACTAATCTATTAGAGTAATACAACCTTACCATTACATATTATTTTATGTGCCTTTACTAACCTGTTTCTATGATACAAGCCGATAGCGGTGACAGTAAATTTTTGGCTTTCCTACTGATTTCCGTGTGCGACATCGACAAGCTGGAGTTAGCTGTCAAACTTGAGGGTCCTGTAATGACACATAAAGTACATTACAAACACACTATAACCTCATTCAAAATCCATGGTAATATCAATAAAAGCACTTGCGAATAGCTCCATACGGCACATTACGAAGAAGAACTGAAACATAACTGAATCTCGCTTTTTCACACCGAAAACAACGACTCACGCGCCATCTATCGCAAACCGATGGTATCATGTCAATGACATTCCCAATTTTCCAAGATGAAACAGTACAGATCATTCGATTCGGACGAACGAATGTGTGAATGGTGAATGATATTAAAAAAACGTAAGTTACAAATAAACACACAAGCATTCATTTATATATTAATTAAAATAAAATAAAAACTTTTTTAGACTAGAAAGATACATACACATACCTTGGGATGATTTGAATTTGTTTAATTTAATTTAATTTTTTATCCATTTCAAGACAGATTAATGATATTAAATTTAGCAAATGTATAAAAGCTGATGACAATCAAACAATAACCTAACTTCTCAGTAACCTAAGCACATTAGGTATAGAATCGCGACCTATATTAGCAATGCGTGTTTACTGAATTTATGGTTTAAATTAATGTGAATGGACTTTAAATATCAAATATGTTAACGATCAAAGTGCATTCCCACTAATATATTATGACATATACTGTCGGTTGTGTATACTAAGTCATATTTAAATATTTTACGACATAATTGCGTATTATAATAAATATCTGTATATATTAAATATATATATATAATTTTAGACGCATCACTGTCACGAAGACGTGTCATATGGATGTAAAATCTGAAGTAAATTAAATAAATAAATAAATAATATTAGAATATTTTAATCACGTCCTACGATTTGAGAATGCTACAAAAATACCACACTAAATAAATTCTACTGCTAATAATAAACTACAACTTCACTAACTTTTGCTAAAATGTACTGGCCCTTGTAGATTGATATTAGTGATAAATTCATAATTATAATTTAGAACTATAAAGATTCAGTATAGCTATTCCGTGAAAATCATAAACGTATTTTTCTTAAGCACAACTTTGCGAATCTAAAGATACCAATATATAGGCGAATTAACGACAAGTGACAACATCTAAATTTACAAGCCGTATCTAAACGAATATATCCGTCCTGCTCGAACGTGACCCTACACACGAGGAACGAGCAAGACAAAACGTTTATTATCCGAGCATATGTACAAAGCAAAAACATATCGAGCCCCAGTACATGAGTGCTGCAAATAAAATCTACTAAAAGCCATTCCACTGCATAAGGCTACTACTTTATAACCATGCTATTCCTAAAGGGTTCATATTGACCTGCACCCTCATTGTTCATCCTTTCAGCCAAATTTCCAACTATATCAGACCTTGAACGGTTATGTCTTGTACCGGGAACGTGTAATAAGTCACCTATAAAATCAACATTAGGGCATTAACGTAAAAAATCATCATCAATCAATCAAAAATCAAGTAAAAATCTACTTTATTTCAACTAGCTTAAGATACAAAATTCTAATATATGTATATGACATGTTTATTTGTATCTACATTCTACCGACTACCGACAAATACTATTTTTATAAACAGACTACCGACAAGAGGCAATAGCATCGCATAAACCTATTGTCATACCAAAAAAAAAAACAAGAAACTTAAATTATGTGCCTAATACATCTCATTTTATTTGACTATGAACTCTAAATATATGCTGTTAAGATACCAATTGCACTGCACTTTGGCAACGTGTGATTTTTATTCATTTGTAATCTTCTAGTTAAGGAACGGGGAAACGTGAATGACTTAAGCGGCATATCGTATTTATATTTCGATTTGAGAAATAGCTTCGGTAGGTGACTCAGACAAGTTTTCACAATTTTCTTGCATTTTTCTATCGGAAACATAAATTTAATACAATTTTTTTGGTGAATTAAAAAAAAATCTTTTTTACTATCTTATTTAAAATCCAAAACTCACCGCTGTACTTTTTAGTGTCCGATTTTGGATCGGTTTTCAGGTCACTGAAAGGAAACAAAAAATGATTGAAATCATCATCCAAAGAACGTAATAATGCGTGTCGGTTTTAAGGATAGGATATCGCCGGTGATTTCAACCTTATTTCTTATGGTGGGTAGTTAACTTTAAAGGTGTCGTCACCGTCATTAATTTTATAATATCACCAACGAAGACCTCGTCTACGCTAATAAAAAGAATATATATTAAAAAAAAACTCTTTAAAATCATACCTATTACTTCTGTAAGTACCATCCTCAGTTTCCATCATAAAATCCGCTTGCCAAGAAGGATCGTCCTAGAATAAAATCCGCGTATCAACTATTTTTTCTTTTCGTCAAATCTAACATAAAACTCTTTTATTTTTTACATCAGGTCTATAAAGGATTCGCTATAAAGAGCGAATACACGCTAAAACGGTCGACCAAAGCACGTCATTTCGGATCCTCCCGATCCACTAACGGTGTTTTTAGGTACCTCAAGCACCGGTCACCGCCCTCGTAAATAAGTAAATAAATTAACCCACAGACACAGCCCACTGAGTTTCTCGCCGGATCTTCTCAGTGGGTCGCGTTTCCGATCCGATGGTAGATTCTGCGAGGCACGGCTCTTGCTAGGGTTCGTGTTAGCAACATCGTCAGGTTTGAGCCCCGTGAGCTCACCTACTACTTAAGGTTAAGCTGAAATAGTCTCTCAAGGCTATCAGATTAGGTAGGAAAAAAAGAAGAAGCTAAAACGCAAACCTCTAAAGCATCGCAGACGCATTTCTGCAGCTCGTCAAAACACACAACTGGATTGTTCGTAAATTCCTCTCCTTCAGTTGTGATTTTACGGACGAGTTCCGAATAACAGTTCTCCGGCACGCCCATTACCGGCGGTTTGTTGGGCGATAAAAACAGATCGCACAACTCGAGTGCGGACGAACGTAAGTTGTCTATGACCTCTTTCGATGTGTGCGGAGCGTCTGCAAAAACGAATGAATAAAATACATGTTTTTTTTTATTGCTTAGATGGGTGGACGAGCTCAAAGCCCACCTGGTGTCAAATGGTTACTGGAGCCCATAGACATCTACAACGTAAATGCGCCACCCACCTTGAGATATAAGTTCTAAGGTCTCAAGAATAGTTACAACGGCTGCCCCACCCTTCAAACCGAAACGCATTACTGCTTCATGGCAGAAATAGGCAGGGTGGCGGTACCCACCCGCGCGGACTCAAAGAGGTTCTACCACCAGTAAACATTAAGGAGGCTTTCCCTCCGACTATCTCTCGATGTTTGAAACACGCTCGTGTTGATACGATATGCACGCCATATATTGTACGTTTATAATATTGTTATAAATAAGTGGTACTGGTAACGTCATCTATTGGCAAATATCGAAATGAGATGTCGAAACGACTATATAGTACTATCGGAAATACTCTTGAAAATCGTAGACCTCTTGCATGAACTATAAAATCGTTGCAGAGACGACATAAAGGCAATTAGCAATTAGCAATTAGTGATTAGTTGTACTCCAAACGAAACGAAAGAAGTGAATTGCGAATTGTGATGAAAGTTTTAATGTGTACTTCGATGATTACTTTTATTTATCCCGAGCCCCATCGCGTATTAACCAAAAGGAATTTCTGAATTATCTTTAACTGTGGTAGGAGATTTTGTATATCCGAAGGTACCACCGTTCTGCGTTTTTCTATCGCGAAGTAACGATTCATTCCAGTTTGAGGTTTGGCGGAGACATTACACAATACATTAGACATTCAACAATTGAAACTTCAACTATGAACTGAAAATACAAGAACTCGCATATTCCAAAATCACCTGACTCATGGAGCTCTATCTCTAGTAAATATTGCGCGTTAGACTTCCACGCTGCTGTTGCTCTCAAAAACTTCAATGTTCTCGCAATTTCCTCGGACATTTTTTGTGTATTCAAATTATTCAGAGTACCTGAAAATTTTAATGAATGAAACACAATCACAAAATTATAACAAAATGTACATGCTGTATTTATTACGTGTAGAAATTTCAAATACCTTCTTGAGGACCTAACGTAGCCCTTCTGGCCTGTATTATCCTGGTCACGTACTGTAACGAGGATAATTTCTGACGATCCTGAAGCTCCCATTCGCCGGCGCTGTCTTTAGAATGCTAAAAATCGTTAATGAAAACTCAATGTTTTTTGTATGTTTGTTGGAGGCAATTGTTTATATCTAAATGGTCGACCGAGGCGGATGTCACGTTGATAAAACAGAGTGAATATTGCCACCCAACTGGAGGCTTGATGTCGGAGTCTCCATTCCAATAGAATAACGGCTATGCTACCATGCAACGGTCTTCCCCGTAGACATACATTATTGTTATTTTAGGGTAATAAAAAAAAAAGTTTAATGCTAAGGTGGATGGACGAGCTCACGGCCCAGCTGATGTTTCATGATGTGGTCACCGGAGCCCACAGACATCAACCACGTTAACATCGCCGCCCATTTTGAGACATGAGTTCAAGTTTTAGTTTTTACAATACAACGGCTGCCCCACCCTGCAAGCCGGAACGAATAACTGATATAGGCAGGTCGGTAGGACCTACCCGTGCGGACTCACAAGATACAAGATACAGCAAGATATTGCCGTATCTTGTACAAGAATTCGTATGGAACAGTAAGAACAAAGGTACTGTGAGCAGTTAAGGAGATTATTTAGTCAATAAAATCATTACATTCACGCAATAGTACCATAATCTCTTTATGGGATCCATAAGGATAACTTAATATAACCTTTTGATTTGTTTATTAGATATGATTGTTTTTATATATGATTGTATGATTTGTTTATTATAGACGATTGTTATAACATCTTAATCTAAAAAAAAATTTCATAGTTATAGAATAGCTACCTATAATTCCAAAATGATACTTATTTCGGATAAACAAGAAGCTTTTAATATTAATAGTATCACAAATTGGATTGAGTCTGTCAATTGATAGTGTTCTAATAATTAAGTAAAAGTCTAAATAAAGTTACAACCGCACAACAGATGGTGTGAGATTAGTTTAAATTCCAATAGTTCATATTAAACACATGTAAGTTTGATGTCGTCAGTGTTACCACTATATGCAACTATTCTACTATATCTGGGCAGGCGTAGACGTTCGAGAAACTTATATCAATACTTACTAGTTTCTGTATATCCTTTTCTACTAATTCTAAAGTTGCGTCCAACTCTTCAGCATCCCCGCAGCTTCTTATGACTATCAAAAACAGTTCTGATGGAAGTATTGAATCTTTGCAACACTGAAAATTATGTGTACTGTCATTAATAATAATTTAATTTGTAACAGATTCTAATATCATAGTAGTGAAAATTAGATAGACAAATAAAAGGACTGAGCTTAAAATGTAAAATTTACATACAGATTTTATGATCATTCTGTTGATATTATCAGGGTCACTCATTAAGCTGATTATGGGGCGTAAAACAACGGCTGATAAAAGATCAATCAAAATCGTCTTCATTGCATGACATCCCCATGCTTCTTCTGGAGCTACCAAATACAATATAGCTTCAGATACCTCACAAAGGAGCTCTGAAACATTCAAGTTATATAAAATGGACACAATTTATGAAATAAAACTGAATATTGCACACAAGACATGACTACTAAGACAAAAGTAGGCCTAAAAAATTAAATAACAAAAATTTTTTTTTTTTTTTAAATGTGGATTATTCTATGATTTTCATTCTAATTTACTCAAATTCTTACCATATTCTTTATCTGTATCATCACAGAACACATCTCTACACATTTGTTTATTTTCTATAGCACATTCAAGTTCAAAAAATATATCTTTTAATGTTTTCCCTGTAATATTTTCAGAGCTATCATAAAATTTTGATTTACCAAATATTTGAGAGTCTGAAATAAATAAAAACAAAATCAGTAAAATACATGAAATAATTTTTTGGTTCACTGATAGCAGAGTAATTTCTAAGCCCAATCCAATGACCACTGAATTGAAGGACCACTGAATTGAAGGATTGGATAGCCATTGTTTCAAAAAAGTGAGACCTTAATCTTATGTCTCTAGGTGGACTGCAGTGTTTCTATAAACTTCAATATCTCCTTAACCCAGGTATCTCTAAGATTGTGTACTCAACAATTACTTGTTAAATTTACGCTATCCACTATATTGGAAAGTAATAAACTCTTATTACTTTCTTCTTCCACTTCCACTCGGAAGTAGTAGTAATCCTATAGAATAAATTAACTGTATCTAAATACCCTATAAGATGGATATTTTTACCTGGCAACCAAGATAAATCTGTTTCACTCTTGTTCCTTCTGTGTGTTTTCTTCTCATCCCTTTTTGGACTTAGTTTAGCAGTATCATTTGCTGATTCTTTGGCATTCATTAACTCTACATGTTTCAGGCGAACTCTTGATTGCTTAAACATCTTCAAATGAGTTGTTAGTTCTTCAGGAAATCTTGTTGAGAGCAAATTAATCCAATCCACACATTTTATCCTGGAAAATGTAGACTTGATACAGCAATATTAAAGTAGCAAGCATCTCAGCACTTTCTACTCTATTATTTAATTATTAGTTCAGCGCAACTAAGTTCTCGCTGTTCGTTAATATATGATTTCAACAATAAGTGCTGACCAACTATGAATAAAACAACATGTCGTGATTGGTTCTGTCACTTCAAATACAGTGATTTCAATGTTCACGACTGTATGTGTGACCTTCGAAAACGCTAAAATAATAACATAAGATTAGCTAGCTTCAGGATTAGGAGTTACTCGCCAAAACATTTCCAAGGAATTACATGCATTAGGAATGAATCAAAGCAAGAGATTTGGTTTCCTTACAAGTAAAAGCCAAAAGATTTTTTCGCTTGTGAACAACTGCTTCGGTCAAAAATGAAAGGTTTTTTTCCATATTCATACTGGGTAATGAAAAATAGATTCAATAAGGAAACCTAAAAAGAAAATAATCTTGGGGATTGTCCTGTCACACTTCTATGTTGTTGGCTTGGCCAAATATTCACGCTGTGAAGGTTATGCTATGTATTTGGTGGGACCAGAACACAACAATAAGTTAATGTGGGCTGTTAGAACCTAACGAATCATATCTGGGGAACAGTTTCAAACCCAATACTGTTGAGCTGAGTGATATGCGAAAAATAGGCACAATATGACCAGACATCATAAAGTGATTCTCCTATATGACAATGCGCAGTCACACTCAGAAGACAAACACTTCTACCATTGCGATTTTCAAACTGTACCAGAAAGATGGGGATAGCTGTGGCTACTAATGGGCAATGCTATGAATGGTTCATTTATAAGCGTTTATTTACATTGTAGTTGCTTTCTCTTCAAAAAAATTAGCAAGAAATTGGTTTAAGACTTTACACATTTTAATTAAACTATTTACTGTGATTGTAGCATACTAAAAAAAATCAGTATAATAATTTAAATATTTTATATACTTTATAACTTTTAGATACCTCAATATTGGTTAAAGTTATATGCTGTGTAAATATAACCCTAATTTTTTTAATGACCAATAGTAATGTATTTTTTTATTTAATGGGAGTTATTTTTACTGTGAAAGAACCTCATATTCCAACTTAAGACACACTTTGACCTTATCCTCCAATTGCAATGGCTAATAACTAATTAACAAGAATTTTCCACTGCTTGTGCTTTTAATTTTAAGACAACCAAAACATTATTGTACTTCCGATTTCTAAAAGTTTACCATATTCGTAATAATTTTCTAGAAATATTTTTATTGTTAAATTTCACATTATGATAAACTAAATCTGCTTTGTTAAAATCATACACATAGCATAAAATGTAGTAAAATTATACTTACCTATTAACTACATTAGCACCAGTAGCAAGCACCAAACGTTTTATTGCATGCTTAGTGAACTCATCATCATTTGTCAAAATCTCATACCATGGTGTAACATAATCATTTATAATTATTACAATTATTTCATTTAGAAATGAATCTACAGTTTCACTTCCTGTTATTCTACTATCAAATTTTAATAAAGGTACCTCTTTTTGAAACTCTTCTAGAACCTTAAAAAAACAATATTAATAGTTGAAGTATGATTAAAGAAATAAGTGAAACAAATATGAAAGTTTAAAATAATTAGAAGCTGTGAAAGTTTCTTAAGCCTCAGTTTTTCTTACCTTAGGAAGAGTAATAGAGAAATTATTACATTGTAATGGATCATCAGGACTGTCTATATCAACAGAAAATATTTTTTTATCATAAACGCAATACAGGAATGTCAATACACTGCAAATAATAAGACATCTTAGTAATTATCTTAAAATAACAATATGTACCTCAGTGTTTTTTCTCACAACTCATAACATATTTGATATAACACTAAAATGAACTGATCCAACCAAAATAAAAAACGTTCGTTTTAGATAAATAAACGGGAGCTTACCCGAGTATGAAAGAAACAATAAACAACAGTAAAGAAAAATAGATTCCAATTCCAAATAAACCGGTGATTATTACGCTAATCAAACCAAACCATCCTGCAATCTTTGCTATCATATTATCGAATATAGCGTTTTGTTTTGATCTAATTTACAAATGCCTATTAAACGCTCAAAATTCACGTAAGAGACGAAAATTATTACAAACTTTATCCACATATTTCTAATTTGCAAAAGAGCATTTGACATAAGTAGTATTATGTAGTCTCAAATATATTAAGTGTATAATCTATGTTAAGTAGTATTAAGTAGGTATTTTTTTAAGGGATTTTATGTCCCGGTAACTAAGATCTTTAAGTCATATCTGATTTTAATTTATATTCTTATTTTTATGAAAAATGATAATACGGAGTGAAATGAAATGAAATGAAATGAAATCTATGTATTGCTTTGATAAAAGACACAGATATAAACACAATTTTCGGCATAGATTAGACAGAAATATATTTTTGTGGATGTAGTTTTTTTTTGGCTGAGTGTCGAACCTCTTACAGGTCCCCGCGCCTAAGGGCCACACAGTTATGTCGGACTCAACACTTAGTAGATTCTGGGAGCGTACCGCGATCCCAAGGATCCTATTTCGGTCCCTATCCTTTTTTTCCCTACCTATTCGCTGGTAACTTAGGGAACTATTGCAGCTACTCCCGCGGGTAACCTGGGAGACTTTGCTAACATCTACCTTAGCAAGAGCAGTGCTTCGCTGAATTTGCCACTGAATCGGGATCACGACCCATTGAGAAGATCTGTCAAGAAATTCAGTGCTGGCTTCGTGAGCGAACACTACACTTGCATATTAAGTAATTTTTCTAACACTATTGAGTTCGCTCGTCGAACAATTCGGCGTAATCGACGAGTTTGACGAGGAAGGTGATTGGTGCTGGGGGGGTCTAAAAGCACCGAGAGTGGATCCGAGGGATACGACAAGACTTGTTTCGGGCGACGGTGGCTTTGCGTTGCCCCGTCATCGTGGTCAAATAGGTAATTAGAGGCGGCCACGATAAAAAAGATTATCATGTTGCGCCGCAAAGTAGCGTTCTGAGACTTTTTTCGGGCCGAGAGTCGAACTTCCTAAGAGGTCACTACGCCTAGGGAGCTCACGGGGTATGTGGGACTTGACGATCTGCTGATGTTGGAAGCAAACCACGGGCTCAAAGAATTTTAGGGCCCTACCGCACTGAACGACTCCCTTGCACTTTTACACACGACGTAAATAAATAAAAATAAATAAATAAATAAAAACGTCTGATCTTCCTCCGGGATCAGAACCCGGTCAAAGTACCTAGAGGGTTTCCACGGTCAACACTACAACTAGACTCGCGGTGCCACCCCGAGGATGCCCGACCGACGGGTCGTCGAGGCGATAGTCGACGACCAACGACGCCGGTCTTCTCTGTACGGTGGGTGCCGCCTAGGCGATGTAGTTGGTGTTCCGGGATACCCCGCTGGGCCCGAACCAGCTTGCCGGGTCGGAACGCGATACACCGACGACCGGGTTGCTCTTCCATAGTATGTTCAGTGACGACAGCGACGACGATAATGCGGACCGCATCGCAGGCCGCAGCCGCCGACGCGTCGTCCCATTCTCCTGGCGCCAGCGCGCTAGAGTGACGGTAGCGTGCGGCGCAGCTTCAATCCCCTCAGGTCGCCCCGTGACCACCCCATGGTTGTAGATGGGGTTCGCCAGACGACGAGACTACGCCTGGAGGACGGCACGTCGAGATTGAAGCTTCCGCGCTCGAACTTCCGCCGCGCCGGCACGCGACTCTCCCTTGGAGCGCTCTGACACTGCCTTAGGATACTTACGAATCGGTTCTAACACCCTACTCACTAAGTGACTTCCCTATCGTTAGCACTAGTAACATCCAGCAGCACCGAGAGTAAATCAGGTCGATCCATCAGAACATAATAATATAACGTAGAACAACGAAATTCGTAGAACCGGGCCAGGGTTATAATTCGTGGCGCCTACGACAAGGAGATTATGTTGTCGAATTTTATTAATACGCTCCGCGCAACTCAAAGCATATTTTTTTAAGAAAAAAGACAATAACTATATATGTTCTAAAAATCAAGAAGTAATCTTAATATCCACCTCTCTACTTCTTAGAGCTTGTATCATAAAGTACTCAAAGGAAAGCTCTATGAAATGTTTCTCTTGAAACTGATAAATTCCTCTATACATACTTGAATACATTGAATTAAAAAACTAAAAAGGTTTAGAACTAAAACTAAATTAGAATTAAAACGATGAAGGTGGAGTAAAACCTTTAAAGTGGTGAGTTGATTCGGAAAGTAAAAACTCAAATGTTTTACTTTTTCGACTTTGTTTGGGTGCATATTGTACGTTTGAGAGTTTTTATCTAACTCAGTTTCTCCTTTTAGTTCCTTCACAGGCAGGCAAAGAACTTCCCACATAAGTCAAGTAACCAATCACCGTAAGTGATCTCATCATCTGAGATTTCCGCAATGCTAAAAGCATAGCCAAGGCGCTGCCTACCACTTAACACTTACTTATAACCGCCTTCAAAATAGGACACATTCTAGCGCTTGGTGGATGATGCAATAGTAGAAAGCATATTTTATGACAAAATAATCTAAAGCGATACATAGAATTTAAGATACAAAAACAAACAGAACCAAAGTCCTGCCATAGCCTAACAGATCAGAATTATTCACAATCCGAATGGTCCTCTGCTTTCTCTTCACCATGTTAACACAGACCGTTAAGTCTCAGATCGCTTACTAGAGTGCAAGTTCAAATTTTACGGGCAAATGAAAAGGCTATATTATTTCTAGGACGGCCACACACCGGAATTCAATATTACTGGAGACGGGACGGATCAACAGAAGCGGGATAGTTAACAAGAATGTTTACCAGTGTCCATCGGAAACCTGACGGACCGGTACGGACAGACAATGTGCGCCCAAACAAAAAACGATACAATTATATTTTCTATTACATCAATTCTCAATTCAACTTTCAATTCAGTCCAAGCATATTAAGTGTATATTGTCAATGATCCGAGCTCTACTAACATTAATAAGTATTTTGAAATTGACTACGTAGGCATCATGGTTTCTAAAGTATTAGTAGGAATTTATGAAAATATGGAAAAATCATTAAGAGCCGCAGGAGTAATAGCCGGGTATGATTTAATTTTAAAAGCTTTGGAATCCGAACTGTTTTTTTTTTCCTTTAATAGAAATAATAATGCTGCAATTTACTAAGCCCATTGGGTACTAAAAATATTTTTTGGTTAATTTTAGCGAACTTTATCCTTTTTTCTGTAATTTAGTTAAACATGTAAACCTCACAGTATAAGTAAATCAATGCCTAAATTAATTTTAGAGATCTATATCTAGCTAGTCGAGACGATTGGCCCAGTCCTCAGATGAATCGTGATCAAAGATGTCTTATTCTTGCTTTTGATCTTCCGCTTCTGCTGATCTTCCGCTTAGTGCAGAAGCTGAGCAAAAATTGTTCTTTGAAAGTACCGACACCGGATCGACGCTGAACCGGTAACAGCGTACTGCCATTGCGTATGCGGGTGTGTATTGACTATGATGCGGGTTGCACACAGTGGAGAACTCGTTGGAAGTTTACCTCTACGGGAGAAGCAGCGCCGTATCCTAGTCATACAAATCGTTCAATTATTCATGGTTTCTCATAACATAATGTGGTGAAATTTTCAGGAAGTCTGGGCGGCATATGAAATATCCATACACACTGTCAGCAAAAATAGCGCAATTTCCGTTGTTCTATTATATGAAGAATAATATTATATGGATGTACTATCCTCTTGGGATTTTAACGGGGTTTTATTTTTTCATGAAAATTCATGTGGTTGTTAATTCAGATGAAAATAAGCGTAGTTGGGCTGAATCGCAAAGAAAGATTGCAGAAAAAGAAGCCCACCATTGATTAAATATAGTTACAACTACAAGCTGAGTTTATGACAGTATAATAACAAAAAAAAAACTTGTAGGCATTTTAACATTGTTTAGGAACTTTGGCATATTCAATGTTTTTTGTTTGATTGATTGAATTATATTTTAGTTTAAGTGTAAAAGTCCTGCTAAAAAGTAAAATTTTCTGAAAACATTATCGTAAATTTACATCCACACTTATAAATAGTTAATACAAATTTTAATAGAATCCTCGCAACTATGTGGTAACTAAAGATTTATTTATTTTAACTTTTAATCACGTCAGAGATGCGGATGCGGTGCAATTTTGTAATTACTAGCATTACTTACATTGTACAGACTTTTTAAGCTATTAAATCGGGGATTTTAGTCAATTTTATTACATGTGCCTCGCCTATACCTATCTGCAGAAACAATAATCAACAAAAAGAAAGATTTTCGCTTGCTCTCCTTATGCCCTTCAATATCATTAACTTTTGTGGTTCTATTCAAATTTAATTTAGGAAATACTACAAACTTACTAATTATTATTGCAATGTATACTAAGTGAGTATGTAATGTAATGTGGTCTTACCCTGCCTCTGACTCTTTTACCGTTCACTTCAGAAACCTGTCTCTGCTCTAAAGAGCAAAGAGAAAGGAGCAATGAAACTGTTCTGTTTATAAGCATGTCAACCAAAAGTTTCAAAATCGTAAGGACAAAAATTGTGAAAAATATGTACGCTTTGTTTAGTATTGTCTTTTAAATTTTGCTATAAAAACCATTAGAACTGATTGATCTATTAGATTCAAGTCTTCGACTTCAGAATAAAAAAGTTTGACCGTATAAGCTTTCTGGTTTTTAACTGTGCATTTTCAGAAAGTTTTTGGTGTCTTTTAAGCATTCTTTAAGTGTTAAATCAACGGAGCATTTAATAACTTCCAAGATTAGGTACCATTACTCTGTTTATTACTGCTGCGAAGTAGTCACACATTCTGGTTTGAAGAGTTACAATGCAAGTGATTCGATGATCTTAAATATTAAGTACTAGCGACCCGCCCTCGCTTCGCTTCGGAAACATTAAAACACACATGAAACCAAAAAAAATATATAAAAAAAAATAAAAAAAAAGTAGCCTATGTTCATCAGGGACAATGTCGGCTTCTAATGGAAAAAGAATTTTTCAAATCGGTCCAGTAGTTTCGGAGCCTATTCGAAACAAACAAACAAACAAATCTTTCCTCTTTATAATATTATTATATTATAAGTATAGAGTATAGATAATACCTAGGCGGTACTGAAAATTTCGGGAATTAACGAAGTGACACAACATTACTATTTAAAAATGTATTTATTGCTTTTCGAAGTGTTCTCCGCGAAATTTGACACCTTTTTCCATACGATGGAACCAATCATTGAAGCAACCATTCCATTCGGAAGTTGGGGTCTCCAAAATGGCCGTTTTGTAGGCGTCCACAGCTTCTTCGGGTGATGAAAATCTCTGTCCACGCAATTTATTCTTTATTTTAGGGAAAGTATAGAAATCATTAGGGCTTAGGTCGGGGCTGTACGGCGGATGGTCTAATAATTCTGTTTTCTTGCTCTAAAAACTCTTTTGTTCTGTGCGCGGTGTGAGAACTCGCATTGTCGTGATGGCGGATGATGCGGCGGTTGCAGTTCTCTTTACGGAGTTCAGAAACGACCTGTGGCAAACAAATGCTAGCATACCATTCTGCATTAACCGTTCTTTGTCCCTCAAGAGGAATACTCGTAACATGGCCGGTTTTGGAGACAAACGTGGCCACCATTTTTTTTGCAACACTCCGTGAACGAACAATTTTTGTTGGCTTTAACTCATTTTCGAACACCCAAACTCGTGACTGGTTTTGTTGGCGACAGCGGCGTCGCCTCATAATTATAGAATAAGTTGAATAGAATTTATAATAGATTTATATAGATACGTACATAGACATAGAGTTATAACAAATAGATAAATTATATAGAGTGCATATAGATAGATAAGGATATAGATAATGTGCACATATATTTTACTAAGAATAGAACGTAAGTTGCTTTGTAATAAATAGTATACACTTNCATGCAAGATTATTTGTATTTGACTCATGCCAATGTCTAAAGTTGCCTGAATTTCGCGGTATGTCACATGTCGATCTTCCTCAATCAGCTTACGCACAGCATCAACGTTTTCTTGGGTGACTGCAGTTTTTGGACGACCTTAACGGGGATCATCACTGAGCTTGACACGTCCACGTTGAAACTCAGCAAACCAGCGATAAACTGTGGTTTTTGGATGGGGCTTCATCACCAAATGCAGAAATCATCCGGTCAACACACTGTTTTTGTGTTAAACCACTTCGAAAGTCATAATAAATCATCGCTCTTGAATTTTCTCGAGTCCATTACATTTTCTCAATGACTAAACAAGTTTGACAAAACCTCGTGACAAGACCGAGAATCTTTTTTTAAATAAATAAATGGTATTCGATTTTTAAAACCAAGGAGTTTTCAATTAAAAAGATTTTAATATGACAGGAACAGTGGAAATATTCCATTCCCGATACTTTTAGTGCAGCCCTCGTTATATGTTGATTGATTTAACCGCTTTGCACCGTGCGGGCTGTAAGTCTACGTATTCATTTTAAATTCATTGAAAAAAGGTTTTTTTGACGTTTCAAATGGACAAAACGAAAGAGTTAAGTTCACAATTACCAAAGACTAAAAGGCCCCATAACCACTAGCCATATAAAATTATTCCACACAATAGTGATGTACCTATAGACTAGACACTCAGGTGTTTCAGTTTTCAATAAAGAATAGTGTTCGAGTTAAATACTCGAATGTAGCGTTTCTCATATTTGGTTTTGTTTTCGAATAGTTATTCTTCTTTTTCTACAGTTTGGTATCTGCCAGCGTTGAGTTTTTAAAATATTCATATATTTAATATGTACACGCACTTTCCGTTCTATGAGCTGAATGACATGATAATAATATGTATATTCTATTTGAAATTGTAATCAATTGAGATAAAATAATGTCCCAGTAAAATGGTGAAAATTTATTGAGGGCAGTGATGCTTTTGGAAATCCACAAGAAGCTATCTCCAGCAGCTTTGTTTAATTTTCCTTCACTTGTGCACTTTCTCAGATACTAAACGGGTTAAATATATAAATGTTAATGCAAAATAAACTATGTGGCGNATATGTATATTCTATTTGAAATTGTAATCAATTGAGATAAAATAATGTCCCAGTAAAATGGTGAAAATTTATTGAGGGCAGTGATGCTTTTGGAAATCCACAAGAAGCTATCTCCAGCAGCTTTGTTTAATTTTCCTTCACTTGTGCACTTTCTCAGATACTAAACGGGTTAAATATATAAATGTTAATGCAAAATAAACTATGTGGCGTATTATGCGTACTACCTTCTGAGCACCATGAAAGTCGAATACGACAGTTTTCGTACCTACTGCGTTGTCGTTAGCCACCCAAAAATATTATTTAAGTAATTCAATTTAATATGAATACCGCAGAACACAGACACATACTGACATGATAGTCGAGTCAATATTGAACTTTAATTAACAAAGCGCATCCCTAATGTGTAAATTGGTGAGAATCGCGAGGACTTGAACGCATAAATTGTGATTTTAGTCATAGATTATACACTTAATATATTTGATTTTAGTTTTGTGAATGACTGATCCCGAACAGTGAATAGAGACAATTTTTTAAAACAACATTTACACCTATTTCAAAGTTTTAATAAATTTATTGAAATGGGTGACAACGAAAAAGAAGAAGCCGCTAATTTAGTGCGTTTGCTTTGTTTTAATTCAATAATAGCAGGCCTTGAAATAAAATGGTTTAATTACACGTACGTATATTGTTTTCAGAAAGAAGAGTTTGAATGGGTTCTTCGTGAAGAGGTTCATGCTATATTACACCAATTACACACAGTTTTAGTTGTAAGTAAGAATATATTTCAAAATATTATAATCACTATTGCCATGAACCTGAATTAAATTTAATTTCCGCAGGAATGTGCTCACAGGTTTCCTGTACCATTGTATGGTAATGAAGGCCAAAAACAGGATAAATTTATTTTGACATCACAACCTGAGCAGTTAAAGTGTATTGTGACCCTCACAGGAGATAGCATAACTCATGCAGTAAGTAACTGGTGTTAGATATTTTAAAAGATCAATAAATTTATGCTCATTGTAGTTCAAGTGAAAGTAATAATGCAATAATTATTCTTTTATGAATTTGGCAACCAATGGTATACTCCCTTTATTATTAAAAGTTATCATCAGGATAATATTTAACAAAAATGTCTTAACTACAGACTATGTTGCATAACTCTTAATGAAGCTTAATGTGTTCTTTGTTCAGGATATAAGTTTCAAGGTCCTCCGTCAAATGCACACAATATGCCGTACCTCAATCAATCAAGATGGACCATGGAAACTTCAGCAGATACAAGATGCTGCAAACCATCTCCAACAAGCTATAGGCTATATTGATAATGTGGACAAACATTATGTTTTTCGGTGAGTTAAATAAAAAATCTATGGGAAAATTAAAATCAGTTTATCATACATAAAAAGAATCCATAATACATATATGTTATTTATGCATGTATGATTTTGATTTTTTTTTGTTAAACTTATAAGTTATATGTAGATAAATAAGAAAATAAAATTATACAAATTAGTGTTCAGCTATTAAGTATTTGTTTACAGAAAGACTTAAAAACGGGCTAAAATGCCACATTTACAAACAAGATGATGTGCAAAACAATAAAACCACATTTTTATTACAATCAAATTTTGATTAAATTTAAAGCAAGTAATTTGAATACCTTATCCTGAAGGTCAAACTTTATTGTGATTTTGATAAAAGATATTACAGTTCCGAAGTTCCCAACAATACATTTTTTATTAAATTAATTTTATTTAACTTTGTCACATATGTAAGCATGTAGATGGCACATAGCCTGAGAAATAATCATTGTCAATCATTATCAATCAATTTATATAAAACGTTTTTATACATCTTTGGAATTTCCAAGCAGAGGCAGCTCACAGCCCACACAATGTCAACTTTAGCCTTCCTCTATTCAAATCTAAACAACTGATTATTACTTATTATAACAGTACTTAGAAAAGATAATATTTACAAAGTATTTGAATCCCATCTATCAAGCATTAAGTATATTTAAATTTTTAGATCATCAGAAGAAGTATTACATATAATTCAATGTCTTATTGGCTCTTTACAAAGAGCTCGGACTGCCTTAGTATTACCCAAAAAAAAAGCAATTGATGAGCTCATGAAGAGTCGAAATATGGTATGTTAAATATAAATTTAAATTTATTGGTTTGGTTTATTTAATTCACAACTAAACAACATTTTTAACTTCCAGAAAGCTCTTTCACCAAATTTGCCTGAAGATTTAGCGATATCATTTTACATACAATCTCATAAATTGATATTTGTGGCGTACCATATTAGTTTTGTACATGGTACCATGAGGATTGATTCATGTCAAGCCGACTGTGCAGTGCCTTGGCTAAGTGATGTACTATTTATGCTGACAGCTGCATTACACATGTGTCAGCAATTAAAAGATAAGGTGAGAATGCATTAATTTATTATATTTAATAAAACGTACTATGAGGCTTTAAAATCTAAATATGCCCACACTAGAAGACATTTACATGTTAGTTAAATTGTCTTGACAAAATAAAATATTAAGAAATTATTGATAGAAAGACTTACGTATCTAACTGCAAGGCCTAGTCCTACCGAATGTCCATATATCATGAACCAAATGTGACAGTTCTCTTGGATATCAGAAAACCCTGTATCCATTCTTTGACTTCTATCATACGCAGATCAGGATCATGAAGATATGTAATTCAGAAAATCATTGTCAAGATTGCTCTTCATATGTTTCAAATAAGTGAGAACTAAATAGTGATAATACTAACCTATAGTGTCTACTATGTTTTATTATTTAATTAATTTAAGCTAGCAGCTTAAGCAATGTGTTGAGTACCATATTAGTTCTGTAAAGTGTCTATTCATCATCGGCACTTCAAAATTCCTTTAAAGGAGAATAAGTACCCTCACCAACACACTACACTAAGAAAACCAAGTGTGAATGTTAAGGGGTCGTCGAAAGAAAGCCAATCGCTGTGGAGACAGTGGTGCTGTATAGGTCAAAAGGGTGCCCTGCCCTGTTTGGGTTGAACTACACCGTGATCAAATCAAATCAATTTTTTTAGCTCTGTAGTGTCTAGTATTACAACGCTATATCGAGGGGTGTAAGACTATTTGGTTTAGGCGACATTTTGGCAACTTTACAGGAGAGCCATTTAAAGGTTAAAATTTGGAAATAATATCATAACAAAAAAAATCTTCAGCTATTTGAATGTAGTAAACTTAATTGAAGTTCAAATAAAAACATCGATGCTAATACAATATAAAACGCACCTTTAACTACAAAGATAAATGTCGCGTATTGTTTATTACAAATTAAACCTTTGATTGCAAAGATAAATATGGCTTAAACCAAATAACTTTTCACCCTTCGATATGTCTCCAGGGTCTGAAGGTGAACCAAAAGCTCATTGGAAAATAGGTAGCTGCGTTTTCTGGGTGTTATGCCAGATAACCGCACTCGATAGACAAAAAGATTAGAGTATATAATAATATACTGTTACAAGTAATGCCTGTGGACCGGTAATGACTTCACACCAAACAAACAAAAGACATAATCGTTTTATATTTTATACACAGTTTTATTATTCTTTGAAATGATCAGTAACAATACTCGTATAACGTTATAGAAATACAAAATGGAATAGTAAATGAATCAGTCTGAAGGAACACGTCATTCCCATACAATGCTATCTGTTAGGTAATCGTATTATCCGTTCGCCTAGTAAACGTACATATCCTATAGATAATGTTAATGACCTGAATTCAGAAAGAAATAAATCAATTCACTAAATTCAACAATATACGTAACAAAATTAACTACAAATTTATGAAACGTTGTCGTTGTCTTGGTTACTAATCAATCACTTATCAGATAGCAGTTTGATTGCGTATGCTGATGTTTTATCACCATACGCGCGGTGATGGACGTATGTACACAAGAATGATAAGGTAATACCTTGTCTATTGTATTGCCTTCCTGATTGTAATAGTTTGAATCACGTATCTGAATGTTCAGCTTTTATAAATACAACTAGGAACCAGTTTTTTATTTATCTATCTGCCGTTTTGGCAGATGTTGGTTATTTTGGCTTCACCTTGACTGGTGGGAGGGGAAATGGGGCTTAGTTGAAAAGAACTGGCTAATGTCTGTCCTAAGAACAACAGTGCTTCGCTGAATCTACCACCGGATCAGAAACGCAACCCATTGATTGGATCCAGCGAGAAACTAAGTTGATTATGTACATGTGGGTTAAGGAACCAAAAATACAGAAATCGCTAACTTTTAAAGATTTGAAGAGGTAAAGAGATTACAAGAGCCCATAGAAATCACAACGTTAATGCCACCAGCCACCCATTATGTGAAGTAAGGTGAAAGTCTTAATTGTATTGTAGCTTTACCACACTATAGACAACATAGCATGACTGCTTCGGGGCAGAAATATGCAGGACGGTGATGCCTACCCGTGCGAAACTACAACACACTGTACCGCAGTTGACGATAGTAGTCATAATACCGCTACCTGCTTCTTTAATACCCATTCTCCGATGAATCGTTTAGTGATTTATTATGACCACCAACAGAAGAGATATAGCGGTGTTATTCAAGACAGACATTTAAACCCCGAAATAATGGGTAATACACAACCTAAGAATTGCTTTCCTTTATGAAATACTAGCGGCCCGCACCGGCTCCGCACGGGTCTTTAACAAAAATTTCGACGATATTTGACGTTGTTTTATTTTTTTAAATAAAAGAACACTTATTGCGGCATAATTATAATAGTTAGACATATGCTGTCGCGACACTTTTTGTAAATAATAATGTGTTCTACAAAGTCGTAGTACATTATTTTATTCTATCATCAATAGTTTTCGCAGGGCACGCGATGTAAAGAATATTTTAGGTAATTCTTTTACACCTTGGGTTACATTATTGGAGTTTTAGTAAGGATCCCTAATTTTTTTCAGAAAATATTGTAGCTTAAGTTACACGGCAATAGTGTAGTTTCCAAACGGTGAAAGAATTTTTCAAATCGGTTCAGTAGTTTTGGAGCCTATTCAATACAAACAAACAAACAAACAAACAAATCTTTCCTCTTTATAATATTAGTATAGATTCGATTGTTTTTCTTTTAATAAATCTTTACAAGTTTGTGAAATTCGTCGAACTCTTAACATTTCTATTCTTCGTTTTCATCCAATAATTACAAGATAATGAAATTAAGCTCTGTTGAAACCATCTGTTTCATTGAACTGGATACTGACTGATGTTCATATCTTCAGCTTTGCAGTGTTTTGACGCGTCAGCTGCTGAATCTAAATTTTGCGGTATGCATTAATTATTTTGTGTGCCTTTTCATTACAGGGAACGTTTCTAAAAGTTTCTAGTACTGAATGCAATCTCTCATTTTTCAGTTATGTGTTTTCTCGCAATACAAAGACTTCACAGTGGGATCAAGATCTGCCTCGATGGTGTTTAACTGAAGGTTAATGTATCCCCTACCGTCGGGTATTACCATATAAAAAACAAAAAACTTATTTACGTAAGTGTATTTATTTAGTTATAGTTATCCAAGTCCATTGTTGATATTCTTGTTGAGTATGTTGTAATATAATGTAAATTATTGAACTTTAATCATATTTATAGGAGAATTTAACTTCGTAGCCCTTATTTTATGTGATATGGAGAGATCAGTTCTGTAATATTTATCGGCATTGATCAATCCTCTTACAGTATTGCCAGATTGTGTAAGAAGTTCACAAGGCTTTGTTACTTCATGAATAATATATAAAGGAATTGAATTTTATGAATTTCGAAATTTGAAGGCAATAAAATAGTATATTAATAACTTTGCATTAGGCGTTGTTAAAAGCCAATAAGTAGAGATATTTCAAGCGAACTTTAAAAAATGCTTAATTTTAAAATTTTAATAACACGGAGGCTATACTTCAAACTTAATATTTAAATAATAAAATATATTATTTTTTAATGAATATAGTTGCACTACTTAGATCTGAAAGTATATTACGTAGACCAATAAGTACATAAAATTTAATTGAGAAACGAAGAAGCTTCGAAGTTTATGTCATCAAAGCACATTAGTGACACTTAAGAAAACTTTAAATCACACTGTATGTTCATATCTATGTATGCGCGTCGAGTTTGTTTTTAATTGCTTCTGTTATCAATATATTGTCAAAATTCATTTATATTATCAGAAATAGTTTTGGTTATTTACTGTAGTTATATATATTAATCCAGACTTTAAAAAAATGCATGTATTACTATTATAGACTATTTTACTGTGAAGCTTATTATCGCATTCTACAAAGCAAAAGATCTAATCATTAAATGAAATCAGACAAATAAATATTCACTTAAAACATTGCTTATGGTTCTGCACGAAAACATTTGTATTAAATTAAAATTAAAAAATTGTTATTTAAAAGGAATTCGTGATAACAATTCCTCAGTATTCGTTATAATTGTCACTCTTGTATTATAAATAAATAAACAAATGTATAATTTGCATTTAAAAATTACTTGATAGTTAAAAATAATTTATTTTTAAATTTATGGGAAATGTTGCACCTTATTTAAAATATTTGAAGAAAAGCCAAATAAGATCTAGGTTTAAAAATATTCGAACTGAAAATTTAGAATTTCTATTTACCTAGTAGTTAAATAGTAACACGCAATTCTGTCTCAAAATGAAAGGTATTGAAGTGACGTGTTGACATTTTTGAAATCCAGATATACATAGTAATAAGAGTACATTGGCAACTCATCATTCATTATTATTCAGAGTTAAGTTCTTGTTGATACAAGTTGGTACTTTTTATTCGTTTGTTTTTAAACGTAGTGTAAAATATCTAAATACGTCAATAATATGTACAGTCATGGCAACACCGCATTGCTTTTTCATACCAAAAAGTAAATGATTCGTAGAATTTAATTTCTACCATGAAAGCCACAAAAAAATAAAAAATAAAAGAAGTGAATAATAAAAAACTACACATTTATTCTTATAAAACTGTTTTTTTTTCCAAATACGTAAAAACGTGTACCTACTAATGTCGAGAATTATAACATTTAACAGTAAATCACACTATATAATATGGCAAAACCTACAAGAAACAAATTAACATTAAATATGTAATAAGAAACAACAAATTACTACTTTTTTATTTTACGTATAATATAAATTACTCTAAGCTGACTGCATTGCATGAGAGAAAAAGAACTATTTACGTGTTGATGTACAGTAGCAGACTGAAACATTGATAACCTAAAAATGTAGTTTCGCTTTTAAACGCAAAAACCGCAAAGAAACAAATTGAGTAGTGGTCTGAATTTGGGTTAATCGCTCCTGACTAAGTAGGTAGTCTACTGATTCTGGACTTCCTACTAGTTAATCGGGACGTTCCATTCAGTATCATGTTTTAACTAAATTTTAATCCGGCTTATTTGGTTACTAAGGCTCTTTCTTAGGCGGACGCCGTTGTATATCAATATAACTTTCTTTACAGAAATTAACGACGGTATTTGTAAAGTTCAAAATCTTGTATTTTTTCACTACTTACAAAAAATGGCGGGAAAAGTATTCAACAGCCTCAAAAAAGTAGCTTTGGTATTTTTAATTATGATCAAATTACAGATTAGGTAATAAATGTTCATGATTAACGTGTTTCTTACCGTAAAATGAAACACCTAATCTTCGTTATTTAGTAATAATTTCGTTTTATTTTAATCAAAATCAATCTTAATTTCGAATCTTTGCTAGAAACTTAAAAATTATGCTGGTTCATATCTCACGAATTGCTTGAAACTTTTAAAGTATATGGAGATTGAGTCTCTATGTCTTTTATATTTTATTATAAGTTCGTACAGATACTAAACTTACTATAAAGATACACTTGATTTAACAATTATAATTATTACCACGTCTATCCGGTTCTAAAATGATCTCCCACAATGCTTCCCGAGCGTTATCCAGGCTGTGTTCCAGGCTTTGCTGATGCCGTTCGCAACAGTGACCGAGCAAATAGCTTAAACCTGATCACAATAATTATCAATATAGAGCAAACACTAATAATATATGACTCTGATGCTAAGACTATTATTATGTGATATGGAAATCAAATTAAATACTGATTAACTTTTTATTCTGCACCTGTATATCACACAAAAGACTTACTAACTACTTGCTTTCTCAACTTCTGTTTGGTAGAAAAAGTGATGCTTCTAAGACTTGCCTAGGCTGTATTTGATTGATTTTACTTTCACATGTTTGACAATAAATATTAAATTAGTATTATTAGGTAGGTAGTCTCAAGACTATTATATCTACACTTATTACTGCAAAAAACTGGTTATTTGTGACTGTGTTGTATTTTAATAAATAATAAAGACCGTTTATTGTTATTTTCTTTTTATTCCTTGTCGTATCACTCTTGTCAGAGCGGTCGTGGTTGTCAATCAGTATCATTGCTGTGGGCAGATGTTAAGCGCCTCACGAGCAATCACCATTTTTCCTGGATTGTGGTGAGCCTGGTACATTCATGCAAATAACCGCTAACGATTCACTTGACTTGGTCGGTCCATCGCATTGGCAGCCTCTCATGCCCTCTGGTGCCTTCTGCTTTGCTCTGAACGACAAGGTGCCACACATCAAACCCGGCGAAACTATATATGCCACTTGGTTAATAGCAAAGTATGAAAAAATCCTTCATTAAAAACCTTGGCCCCGCTGATTAATAATTTAAAATAAGTTGTATACATGCGTTTTGAGAGTTTTGACAATTTTAGTGATTGAACAAACGGGTTAACCATGGGTTAACCCCATAGACCGTTAACCCTATAACGTCTCTTTCATTCTTTGACATTCTGACAAGCTGAGTCGCAGCTGTGTACACTATACATTTACTCGAAGCTACAACGTAGCGCTGTAATAGACGCGAATAAAATGTAGTGGTAGCGTATGGTCCGAATGTACTTGTTCGAATTGCTTAGTATTAAGTATTTAATCAATGAAAATGTTATGTTTCATAACGAACTAAAAAATATAAAACAGATTAATAATTTCTTTGTACCCACCATTTCTGGTCAGTAATATTAAATGCATTTCGGTTGAGATTTAAGGTTTCCTAACACTAGTAAGTTTGGCGCAGAGAGTTATTTTACGACAATTCTAAATTTTATTTCTGAACGAAGAAATGAATTTGTCGTTAATGTCAGTGTCCGACGCCCGTCATTGTCAACAAAATCTCAAAATATTAGTAGAAGTTTGTAGGCACCTACCTAGGTATTAATCGGGTCAAAAAAACACGTCAAATAATTACAAGAAAAAACCTAATTCACTAACTAGTTATAAGTTGTGTTGTAAAAATTTGAGAAAATAACATTTATTTAAAAGAAAAACAATTAGAAATGTAAAAACATTCAACACCAATTTGGGAAGGTTTTAATAAGAATTATCATCATGTGGGTGAAACCTCAAGAAATATATTTGAAAACCGCACTATGGTAAGTTCTCAATCAATAACAAAAATATAAAAGTCAGCTTTATCTTAATGTGTATTTAACTTTATTAATCTGTCGCGGTTTCGTTTGCTTCAGGGATACGGAAGAAACATCTTTGTATTTTGTTTTACAATGTAGAAAAGGACATGGTAAATCAAAAGGGCTCTCCTCGCTTCTTGTTGGTACTTTAGACAGCGTCCGAGACACCAAACCTGCGCCCTACAGGATATTACATCAAACTCCAAACTCCGAAATCTATTATGGTATGTCCATTTGGATTTTATTGAAGAAAGTAAACTAAGGAGTTATTTTGTTAACAAGCTAGTAATAATATTATTCCACAATAAATGTTGAAAATGTAATTTTAAATTGACAGAATTCAGGAAACCTACAGGTATCCAAAACAAGTAACATAATAATTATTTATTTATTTTTGTTTTAGTAATAGCAACTGCATTGACGGAACAACAGATCCGTCAAGATTGGCAGTGGCTTATTGACAATGTTTGTTCAACACTCCATTCCTTTGACACCGAGGAAGAAGTCACAGAATTTGTATGCTGCAAAATTAACTCTGTTATGGCAACTGAACAAGAAAATATAACTGAAGGTATTTTGAAAAACAAAATGTAACCTTGTAAATTTATGTAATTCTATGCTGTTGCATACCGTCTATTTGTTTATTTTATTAAATAAGAATCCATTTTGTACAGATGAAGACACAATAACTTACAAAAATGTTGATTATGAATTTCACCAAAGATTTAATATGCCCAAAGATGAAAAACTTGTGTGCTATTATTCATGCAGGTAAGGAATATTGCAATGACCTTGAATTAAAAAATATACACATTTATGTCATTATCCTAAATATATATATTCATTTTTTAGTTATTGGAAGGGAAAAATGCCACGTCAGGGATGGATGTATCTGTCTGTCCATTACATGTGTTTCTATTCATACATTATCGGTCGGAAAACAGCTGTTAAGATACGTTGGGCTGATGTGACAGAGCTCGCAAAAACACACAGCCTAATATTTCCAGACTCCATTAAAGTGGTGACCAGGGATGCTGAGCATTATTTCACTATGTTTTTGAAGAAGAATGAGACTTTTGCATTAATGCAGCAGCTCGCCAATATTGCTATGAAACAGTAAGTATTTTTTATTTAGACTTTGGTGATACATTATACAACAGAAACCAAAACTTTTTTGAAATACAACTATTGGTATTTATTATTGATTAAAACATTGCACACAATTTAAAATGTATTAAAGCTAGTACCATTCTAGACTTCAGAAAACTTGTACTTGATGATCTGTGCATGAAACTGTTAGCAGGCATTGTAATATATTGAAAGTTTGACACGCTAATATGACTAAGTGTTTATGACAATTGAAAACTGTTTATATACCTAATATAAATATTGTTTTCAATTTACTCAAAAATAGGTAATATAAAATAAAAATAGGTCTTAAGAGATTGAAATTTTTAGGCTTATAGATGATAAATCTGGAACCTTCAACATTGACAAAGATTTATTAACAAAACTGAGCAAAAATGTGCCAAAGAAAGCATCTTTTTTGAAACGTGACCTAGATGCTAGAAAGCAATCAAATCTGTACACACTAAGGTTCCGATTGCCTCAAACAGAAAAGCTTGATGGAACTGAAGCATGTACTCTCTGGACACCATACAATAAAAAACACAATTGGGGAAGACTATATTTGTCTCAGAATTTTATATGTTTTGACAGCAGGGTATGTATAAATTACTTGTTCAGTGAATAATCTAATGATTCAGGTCAACTCATGTTACACCATACCTATCTAAAAATTCCATTTTATACACAAAACTTATCTACAAATAATTTTTAATGTATAAAATGGGCAAAAACGTTAAATATTTTAGGTTCTGAAAATCCTATTCAAATTAAAACAGATGGTTATTATGGACATACCTAGTCAGGTCATAAATTCTGTCACATGTTTAATGTAAAATAATTGAAACAAGTTTATTCATTATGTAACCATTCATATACCAAAATGAACTTAACAAAACATAGATTCTTATGACACTAAAGTTTATTCAAAATGACCTCCGTGATTTTGAATACAGGCCTTCAATCTGCGCGGCCAGCCGTCTATCGCAGCACGAACGAGGTCCATGTCAATATCGGCGGCTGCCTTAATCAAGGATGTCTTGAGTGACTCCAAATTGGGATGAGGCTTTGAGCACGCCTTTTCCTCCAAGTGTTGCCATATCTTGTAATCTAACGGATTCAAATCTGGACTGGAGGAGGGCCAGTCTTCGTGCCGGATGAAGTCGATTTCACGCGCCGCCAGCCAGTCTTGTGTGCTCTTCGCTCTATGAGCTGGCGCCGAATCTTGTTGGAATACCCAGTGCCTGTTATTGAACATGGTATGAGNGCATTGTAATTTAATGAAAGTTTGACACGCTAATATGACTAAGTGTTTATGACAATTGAAAACTATATACCTAAGTAATATAAATATTGTTTTCAATATACTCAAAAATTGGTAATTTTTGTCTTAAGAGATTGAACTTTTTAGGCTTATAGATGATAAATCTGGAACCTTCAACATTGACAAAGATTTATTAACAAAACTGAGCAAAAATGTGCCAAAGAAAGCGTCTTTTTTAAAGCGTGACTTAGATGCTAGAAAGCAATCAAATCTATACACACTAAGGTTCCGATTGCCTCAAACAGAAAAACTTGATGGAACTGAAGAATGTACTCTCTGGACACCATACAATAAAAAGCACAATTGGGGAAGACTATATTTGTCTCAGAATTTTATATGTTTTGACAGCAGGGTATGTATAAATTACTTGTTCAGTGAATAATCTAATGATTCAGGTCAACTCATGTTACACTATACCTATCTAAAAATTCCATTTTATACACAAAACTTATCTACAAATAATTTTTAATGTATAAAATGGGCAAAAACGTTACATATTTTAGGTTCTGAAAATCCTATTCAAATTAAAACAGATGGTTATTATGGACATAATAATATATACATAAATAAGTGCCTACTATTATTTTTTTGTTTAGTTACTGTTTCTTTATGGTATTAGAATTGCAGAATAAACTTAAACTTAATTAATTTAATCATAAAAAAATACAAGCACAATTAGAAGCTTAACTATCAACTTGTTGTAAAGTAGAGCCATAGGGACTGTCAATTTTAACAATATTTTTTTTATAATTTAAAAGAATATTATAAATTCAGCCAGATCTTATTTTGTTAGAAATAATTTACAGGGACACAGTGCTATAATACTTTGTATCATTATCACCTGAATGTATGAACTTGGGAAAGATATAATGAGATGTTTCAAATACCCACTCTTTGTGTACCCTTGGCTTAAATGTTTATCGGGTTATTTATCTTAAGACATAGTTCGATGTTTCATTGAAATAATACAATACAAACATTACATAAAAAAGTGGCAATTCGCCATAAATGGACATCCTCATAATGCGCTTATTTTGCGTGTGGACGGAAGGTACCTTACCGAGGACCATTTCAGCTCCTCCATAATGTAAGCTAACTACCTTGAGCTGCTGAGCCTCTCGGGGTGACCTCCTTAACCCGAAGTGTGAAGCCCGATAGGATTTTCAGCGGCAAATATAGGCAGAGCGTGTTTTCATCGCTTACTTCTAAAATAAAACGTTACTACTGAAAAAACTATATTAATAAATCTACTAATAAAACATCACGTCAAGTCCCCTTCAATAATTACCAAATATAAATTTCATATGAGTAGTGTAGAATTGTAATACTGGATAAGTTTCAATTATTTAAAGTTGACTATAGATTAAACAACACACTTAATATACCTACAGCTATCCTTAAATTTATTGTTTACAAATGTGTTAGTCACGATACCACGTCCATTGTTTACAGAACCATTACAGCATTTGTATTTATCGTTTGAACGTAGTATTATTACATGTGATGATTTTTTTGTAATCGTTTTTTTTGTTTACATTTTTTTGGTGTTAAGAAGTTCGATACTCATAGACTTCACAATATGTTTGTTGGCACTCGCCTTGATTGGCAGAACTGAACCACTTTTTAAACCTGAGCACGCGATCTCTTACATCAGCTCCTGTAATCGTTTGTGCGGGATCACAATACGCCCTCCTATCAATAAACGTATACCTATTGATGATTGCAGTACTTTGATATAATACTCGGAAAGCTGTTGTCCTTTTCCCAGTGATTCTTTTTACGTCAACCACATGAAGAGATGAGGGCTTTATGAGTGATTATAGGACGCATTCCTCTAATATCGAAATATTTGTACCAAAACCATTTTGATTCTATTACATGACAGCCAAATGAACGCTAAGTGCAGCAAATACATTGTAGGTGCTAAATTTGGTACGACTGACTATCCCACTGCGCAACGTACATCAAGTGGAACGCGCTGACTCCGGCGGCACCGGAAGCTCAGGAGATTCTGGTAGCATCCTCATCACGACCGCCCACCACACCAGTTTCCTCTTCGGAAACATATCCGACAGGGATTTTCTTGTGCACAAAATCTCTGAGCTACTGGCCAAATTACCAAAGTAAGAAATTAAATGACATATTTAAGGGCATGTTTCAAAGCGTTTGCAAGCTTCACTGAAAGTACATACGTGTGTGAAGTTTAATTCGTTGCCTTTTTCGTTTGTCAAAATGTTAAGAGCTTTTAATTTTTACATTTTGTCTAGGGCCACAATGCCCAAAGCCGGCTTATATATATTATACCCAAAAATACGCATTGCATCCACAATGGTAAACCTTAATCTTCACAGGAGTTTACAAATGTTGATAACGGCCTGAAATGTGAACAGTGTAAATATCTATCAATTTTGCTATTCCACAAGATTTCAGTAGCAGTATCGCGCGATGCCAACTATGAACACATATTTGCGGTTTATCGAAACACGGGCGAGAGAGGAAAGGATAATTAATTAGTTTATGATTTTTGTTAAAACGACTGCGGTCCAAATTTCTTTGTTTTTTCACTTCTGATTAAAAAGTTGGCCCAACCCTAGCCGATCATATTTTTTTTTAATGGAAATTTTCATTATTCGCTAAATCCAGACGAGTTAATTAACTGTACGAATACATATTATTTTAGTATTGTTTTCAAATTATTGTTACACTCTGTTTAGCTATCGCGTTCGAGATAATATTTGATACTTTAAACCTGTCTATGCTAATGCATGTGTTATGTGAATGATAATAATGTTTTAAAAGTTTCGTTTTGTAATTATCTGTTATTGTCTTCGAGGTTTTTTTTAGAATTTTTTCGTCAAACCATAATAAGAAATCTATTTTCAAAAATGTTATTGCTTCTATTTCGATGCCTCCAATGAACACTACTCTAACTCCAAATTCGTAGGTTTACAGGAGGAGCGTTTAAACGAAAAAAGTTGATAAAATCTTTATTATTGCAGATATACTTGAGTTGACTATTATCAAAGCCGGCAATCTGACTTTTGGACAATGATTGGTAAATCAGAAAAACGAATTATTGACTTTGTATTCCATTGGCAGTCACAAAACTCTTCGGAACGACATCTTAGATAAATAACAGGTTAACTATTAACCTTTATTTAATGAAGGTTTTGAACCGTATTCTTTGAAGGAGACGATTATATTCAAATCAATCTGTATTGACATATCAATAAAAAAAATTTGTCCAAATGCACAGATTGCCACCTTTGATAATAGACAACTCACTTATGGTTTTTTCTTGTGAAACTAGCTGATTTACTTTTGCTTTGAACCCCATCAATAATGAATTTTTAATACATTTAAAATAGTGAAGCGATTATGCGTGAGAAACGAAAGTTTCTAAATTTTGAGCTAGAGTAGTGTTCATTGGAGGCATCGATTTGCTTTCTAATCATTTAACACAGCATGTTCCAGCCACGGCAACGCTAACGGCGTTCGGGAATCATATTTTTAAGGCTGTTCAATTTACGTATCAGTAACATAACTTGATTGTGCAGTGATGTGTATAGGGAGAAGGCGATACGGGCAATGGCGAAACTCGAAAATGACAGTCACTGGACTCCGCAGCCCCCTTTGATGACGCTATTCAAGACTCATCAAACTTCACCGATTAAACAAATGCAACAGAAAAAGGTAGATTGAAATAAATTTAACTTGAGAACACCGTGTAGTTGTGAAGCGAATTTCGTTGATGCTCGTTTTTTATAGGAGAAAAGATGGGAAGACCACATGGCTGAAGTCGGTCGAGGGGTGAGCATGTACCAAACGACAGACGGTAGCGAATTAGTCGTCAGCGGCCTGCCTGAGTCTCTTCGTGGAGAACTATGGAGCGTGTTCTCGGGTTCTATACTGCAGAAGGCACAGAACAAAGGACTGTACGAAAGACTGGTTAATGAGGCTCTTTCATCGAAGAACCAGGCGAATGATGAAATAGAACGAGATTTGCACAGATCATTGCCGGAACATAGAGCATTTCAAAACGATATCGGTGAGCTAGTTTTGCTGTTTTTTTTCCTACCTAAGCTGATAGTCTGGAGAGACCATGTCAGCGTCACCGGGCTAGTAGGTAAGATCACGGGGCTCAAACCTGACGTTGTTGCTAACACGAACCTTAGCAAGAGCTGTGCTTCGCAGAATCTACCACTGGGTTGGAAACGCGACCCACTCAGAAGATCCGGCGAGAAACTCAGTGGGCTGTGTCTGGGGGTTAATTTACTCGCCGAGCCCTTCGTCGCAAGCGACGGGTTCGACGAGAACGATGACCGGTGCTTGAGGTACCTAAAGGCACCGTTAGTGGATCGGGAGGATCCGAGATGACGTTATTGTTTTGCGGTATTAAACATTACAAAAACCCCTACAAATCTAATGCTTTGTAGTAGGGGTATCAGTTACTTGATACAAATTTTAGTGGTTTTTTTTTCTACAATCAGGAATATCGGCATTACGTCGGGTTTTATGTGCGTACGCTCGCAAGAATCCCACAATAGGATATTGTCAGGCAATGAACATCGTGGCATCTGTTCTACTCATATATTGTCCGGAAGAGCAGGCGTTCTGGTTGTTAGCAACAATATGCGAGACTTTGTTGCCAGATTACTACAATACCAGGGTAGTCGGAGCTCTGGTACGTATGGGACGCATTTTTTATTTTTTTATTGCTTAGATGGGTGGACGAGCTCACAGCCCACCTGGTGTTAAGTGGTTACTGGAGCCCATAGACATCTGCAACGTAAATGCGCCACCCACCTTGATATATAAGTTCTAAGGTCTCAGTATAGTTACAGCGGCTACCCCACCCTTCAAACCGAAACGCATTACTGCTTCACAGCAGAAATAGGCAGGGTGGTGATATCCACCCGTGCGGACTCACAAGTGGTCCTACCACTAGTAAGAATATTGAATAAGTCGTGAAACATTACAACACTTTTAACTTTTTTTTAAATATTGGAGTAACTTTGCTTTAAATGATAAACGCCTCTCTTTAGAACCATAATACTATTACTAAGCACACTACAATAAATCGTTCTGTTGTTATTTATCTATTATGACTCATAGAGCAAAATCTGTTTCATTACGCAATGTATTAATATTTCACAATTAATATAAATCAAAGAGGAACAGTGATAAATGAGGAAAGAAAATTGATAAATTATTATGTCTAAAAAAACCTAAAATAGGGTTACATAAAAATCATGACTATTAATGAATTAATTCGCACAGCATAATTAAAGTAGAGATTTTTAAAGAATTCGAGTCAAGAAGATTTTCATACGGAAATGTTACGTCATCAATGACGAATTATATTTTCCTATGGCGACTCTGTTTATTATCTATGTATATAATCTCTATATATAAAAATGAATTGCGGTTCGTTAGTCTCGCTAAAACTCTAGAACGGCTGGACCGATTTGGTTAATTTTGGTCTTGAATTATTTTTCGAAGTCCAGCGAAAGTTTGAAAGGTAGATAAATATGAAAATGCTCGGAATTAAACAAAAATTAACAATTTTGTTTTTCCTTTGATGTTTCTCCCGTCGGACGGATTCCTTTTGTTTGTTTTAAGTTTATTTTATACAAAAGTTTAGGTCTTTTATTTATCGATTGAGGCATTACCAAGTCTGCCGGGTCAGCTAGTTAAGTAATAAAAATTGCGTTCCATTAGGTTACAATTTTCTTTTCTTTGTTTCGTTCCAATATTAACTCACGTATAGCTCCGTGAAAATTTTACATTTGCAGTCATATTTAGTAAAGAAAATTCTTTCAAAAACGAATGACTTTAAAAATAAATAAATACATTTTTAGGTTGATCAAGGAGTCCTTGAAGAACTAACAGAGGCTCATCTGCCGGAATTACACGCGAAGCTAGACGAACTGGGAATGATGAAAATGATCAGTCTGTCTTGGTTCCTGACTCTGTTCATCAGCGTGATGCCGTACGAATGCGCGGTCAACGTTATGGACTGTTTCTTTTATGATGGCGCTAAAGTCATATTCCAGGTACGATTTATTGCCTCCTGTGTAATACGATAATGTATACAAATGTACTGAGTTGATGAGTTGTACTGAGTGATGACTGAGTTTAGAAGTAACAAAGAAAAAATCCAATCGAATTGATATCACCCTCCTTTTTTGAAGTAGGTTAAAATGATATATGCTTCGTCAGGTAACGCTCACGATTCTCGACATCAATCACGAGAAGCTACTCAAATGTACCGAAGATGGGCAGGCTATGCAGGTTTTAAACGAGTATCTAGAAGGCATTTACAACGAGGAAGCAATGGCGCTGTCTACAGAACCACGAACTGAGGCAAAAGTACGTCACAATCACATCGTTCCATTAAAAAAAAAAATATATATTTTAATATATTAAACAAAAAAGTTTATTGTCGTTGCTCGCTCAGGATTTAATGTATTTATTATGCATAATTAAATAAAAAATTGCATTCTGCACTCCCCCTGTATATTCTGTATAAGTGTGGGAAATTTCATACTCCTCCGTGCGCGCAATTTTCGTAAAAAGGGGTACAAAGTTTTTGTTTCACGTACCTATTAATATATTAGCCGTATTAGCGAGAGTCCAATGACAATGAAAAAATCCCACTGTCACTATTGCTTACTCTTGACAGTTGAACGCGCCGTTTGCCACAGATTAACTTACCGGTCACCTTCCTCGCCGAACCCGTTGCTTGCGACGAAGGGCTCAACGACTAAATTAATCCATAGACAGAGCCCACTGAGTTTCTGGCCGGATCTTCTCAGTGGGTCGCGTTTCTGATCCGGGGGTACAAGCCGCGCCAATAAGGAAACGAATCTAAAATGGCGGCGGCGATCATGCGCTCTCACTCTAAACTATTGCTGTCTTTAGTCGCACACGGCGCGTACTGCATGCAAATAAAAATCAGTTCTGACTTTGTTGTTGAGTTCGAGTTTTTTCACTTTCTTGTTCACTTTGTTGTTGGCTGGCAGCAAAAGTGTCTACGCAAGTTGCATCCCAGATGAGACACCTCTCCCTCTGTCAGGGCATAAAGTAAAGTAAAGTACATTCTCATCATTTGTTTTTTTATATTTTTTTTCAATAAACAACTTTTTCTTCCTATCTTTCTTTTTATTTGTTGACCCTACCATCTGTCAGTACATAAACGCCATTTTCGATTCGTTTCTTTATTGGCGCGGCTTATAGATTCTGCGAAGCACTGCTCTTGCTAGGGCCAGTGTTAGCAACACTCCGGTTTGAGCCCCGTGAGCTCACCTACACGTCAAGGAGAAGCTGAAATAGCATCACAAGGTTATCAGCATAGGTAGGGAAAAAAATAACTTACATTTACAGTCAATAATGAACCTTATATTTCAGACCATAAAGATTCAAGATCTCATTTACCGCACTTACCGTTCGTACGGCAGCACCGTTACCAGCGAACATATAGAGCACTTGCGACTGAAACACCGGCTGCGGGTAGTCAAACAACTAGAGGACAGCTTGGAGAGGAATACATTGAGGGCTTTACAACAAGACAAGCTGCTGGAGCCTAATGAATTGCATGTGAGGAAAACGACGCTTACAATGTACAGCGTTTTTATTTTAATTACTAATTCGAACTTTTGCATGCCGTCGTTGTCAAACCAAAATCTGCTATATGCAAAAACTCTATTTTGAATTAACGAGTAAAAACATTTTCGTATAAATTTTTATACGATGGTGAATTTTTAAGAACTATATCAAATGAAAGCTATAGATAAATATTAAAGGTACACATAACAGTATTTTTATACAGTAGATAGGGCTGTGAACTATACTAAAAGGTCAAAAGTAAAAATCTCAAAAAGTGCACATTTTGGTGACAAGGTGATTTTGGTTTGACAACGACGATATGGTTTTTGTTTGGTGGTGCATTCTTCACGATAGAATTGAGGCCTCGATCCTGTTTTGAGGTCGCATCTATTTTGTAGTCCATGGGCTGCCGTATTCACTTAACATTAGATGCGTGTCTAGTTCATCTGTACAATTAACTACAATTGTCCCCACAGACTCACTGAAAACTATGTTTTCATGTATTTCAGACTAACATAGGTGATGAGAATTTTATATCAATGAATTTGGTTGTAACAAAAAAAAACATTTTATTCTTCTTTATAGGATCTGTTAAGCATAATACGCGAAGAGTTATTCTGGGCGAAGCGTGTACCTTGCGAAAGATTGGAAGCTCCCTACGAAGCTTACCGACTCGATTACACACAGTTCAAAAGTTTGTTCACTGCTCTATCGCCTTGGGCTAAAGGGGATTACGCCGAAGCTATTACTGCTAGAATGTTTAAGGTAACCAAATATAGAATTGTTTGCTTTTTCAAAAACGTTCAACGCTATTTTCAAAAAGCCCGATTAGTTTGAAAATATTACCCGTATGATAATATAATCATTTTATTTTGCCCCAATATCCCCTGACCAAATTATACCAAATGCTCTGAGGAATCATTCGAGATGATCTCCTCATCTCCTTTTTATTATCACACTTTTTGCCATTCGAGCAGAGTTCATCCACAGTGCGTTTCTTTTCTGCCACGTACCACCCGGCCTTGGAATGAACTTCCCTCTACAGTGTTTCCCGACCGCTATGACATGTCCTTCAAATAAGGCTTGCGGAGAGTATAGTAAGCGGCACGTAAGTTGGCGAGGTTTTGGTGTAGTGGGGGTAATGTGGCGCATAGTGCACATTGCAACAAAAAAATGGTCACCTTTATTGCCTGCATATAATTTAATATAATTTTATATTTTTTTTTATTTGCCATAATTTACTTTTAAGCCTGTGTGTTTAAAAGAAAGTTAAAGAAACAAGAGGAATTCGTGTAGTGTATTAGGTGTTATAAATAAAATACAATTAAAATAAAGAAGTTTATTTAAAAAATATACTTAATATTAAAAAGATGTATTGCCGTCGTCACTATCATTTTCTAATAGTGCTACCCCTTGGATTAAATTTATGATAGCACCTGAGCTGGTGGAAGGAGTTGGCCCCTCATCGTCGACATAACGAAAAGTCGCTGTCGTCATTAGCGTAAATAATAAAACGCTCAGTGACTGAATCGACTATATGGTTATAGGTATTTGGTCCTGGCATTGCAAACAAACTTAAAACAATAACACTCGTAACATAAACTAAATTTAAAACAATATTAACAACTCATAACAAAAAACTCAATATAAACAAAGGGTTCCTACAATTTAGTAGGCGCATGTGTAACCGGGGGCGAACGGAACGTGGACGCGGTGCGGGACGGGAGGGTCGACTGACTCACCAATCGCGCGCTCGGAACGGTGCTACGTCTTTCCCCGCGTCCCGCTTGACAACCAAAGATACCTAAAAAACGACTTCTGCGCATCTAGCGACTCTTGCCAAGTTACGTGCCGGGAACTATACATAATGGTAGGCAGCGGCTTGGCTTTGCTCCTGGCATTGCTGACGTCTATGAGCGACGGTAACCACTTACCAGCAGGTGCCTTCAAAGGCAATAAGAAAAACACAGGAATATTTATAATCGATATTTTTATCTTTATCTTTTATGACGGAAGTTAATATCGATTATAATTATAATCGATTATAATATATACGAATTATAACTATAATCGATATGTTTATCGTTATCGTTTTGTGACGGTAGTTAATGGACCACGACGACGATGGGTTCGTGAGCGCGCGCGGCCTGAGCGTGGCCATAGGGCTGAGCACCCGTGGCGACGCCCAGCGCCGGCTGCGCGCCCTATACTGCGCGCACGCGCCGCCGCTGCTCACCCACCAGGACCTCAGGCCCACGCACTTCACGGAAACCGGAGAAGAGGTCGCCGACGACGCCATCTCCTTCTTCGACGAGTGAGTAAAGATGGGTCGAATGGCTTAGTCTCCACTCAAGAAGTTTCACTTCTGTCGCGTACATTTTGTGGGACAATTAGTTTACAAGCAGCCACTCTTAGTATGAGTATGTGGCGTCCTCCACACAGCGGTAAACACGCAATAATCGTGCGGTGTAATGTGCACGAACAAACTGTAAATTGCTCGACTAATACGACGGCCGGTGCGCACTAAGATAGACCGCCAGACAATCGACATCGTTCTATCGCCAGTAACATATTTTCTCCCTTCTTAACCTTTAAGACTATCCGCTTCTTCTTTCTGTGCTTTCCTGTGCTTGTGTCTTCTTATAAAATATATCTGATTTTTGTGGCAATATTGGCTGGTCTACTGCTAAATCCGAAGCAAATCTCAGTTCCCAAATATAACGGACAAAATAATCACAATACTAGTCTAATACTATCTAATACGAATGAAATATTATTTATAACAGCATAGAAAATCCACCAACGCCAGAACCATTAGCGCTGTCAGGTCTGCAGCGATCGATAAGTGAAGTGTGCGGTGAAGGTAGCAACATGGATAAGTCCACTGACAGCACCACAAGTCAAACTGGTTAGTAATATTTTGAACGACGCATTTTTTTTTTTTAATTTTTATTGCTTAGATGGGTGGACCAGCTCATAGCCCACCTGATGTTAAGTGGTTACTGGAAGCTTTGTAACAAAATAAAATTATTCCAATTTAAATATTGACTTGTCAAGTAGCGCTATCGCAGATCATCATTTTCAAGAAGCTGACACGTTGTAGTTAAAAGGAGATTATTCGAAAACGATTATTAAAATCGGCCATAAATCTTCTAAAACTCCTCCATTTTTATAAATAACATTAAAATTTAACGCGAATACAGTTGTAGGGACCACAAATGTCCCCATAGCAACTAATAGTTATATGTATGTGTTAGCGGTAATTATAATGCAATGATGCTACGTCAGTCTCGGGATTGTCGGGCTGTGCACGAGCTAGTGTGACGAGAGAGTGCTATAGCACGTTAGGTTGTAATCCCAATATACGTTAGTCACTTAACTGAACACGTGTCTTATTAATCCTTGCCCGATATAGAGACTCGACACAGTCATTCACTCAAATCTCAAATCGTACCGAGATGATACCACCTGACCTAGCCAACATCTAACACTCTACCCTCAATAAAGCTTAATCCGTTCCAGGCTCGCCATGGGAGGGCTACACGTCGGAGTCGGTCCGTGCGTGCGGACTAGCCGGACTGGCGGGGTCGTCGCCCCCGAGCCCGGGCCCCGCCCCGCCCCCTCCCGCGCCGCCGCTCCCCCGCGCGCACTTCCTGCAGCTCCTCGCCGCGCTGCACGACCTCACGAAGCACAGCGCGCCGCACTACGAAGCCGTCGTCTTGGCAGGTCACTAGCTTTCAACACATAAACACTTGCTGGCTATAAGGTCTTGTAACCATTGGCCGTAAAAAAAAAGCTTGCATTTTACTGTTGGTAGAACCTCTTGTGAGTCCGCACGGGTAGGTACCACCACCCTGTCTATTTCTGCCGTGAAGCGGTAATGCGTTTCGGTTTGAAGGGTGGGGCAGCCATTGTAACTATACTTGAGACCTTAGAACTTATATCTCAAGGTGGGTGGCTCATTTACGTTGTGGATGTCTATGGGCTCCAGTAACCACTTAACACCAGGTGGGCTATGAGCTCGTCCACCCATCTATGAGATGTCCTACTTTTTTCCCGCGGTGCACATACTATTTTTTACTATTTTTTCTCCTACCAGGCCGAAAATTCGACATTGTAAAAAACTTAGCACCCGTGGAGTAAGGAGCTGGGGTCCTGAGGCGAAGCCCTGTCAGGGGGTTGGAGGGGGCGGAGCACCCCCCTCAAAAAAAAACAATTTATCTGTTTTTTAATTTTTAAATAAACTAATATTAATTGAATAAGAACTGTCTGATGAACTCATCTTTGTTTAATACTTCACTATTAAATTTTATAGCCTTTTGTTTATTTCACTTTTACACTAAACACAACATCGCAAATTGCCCGAGCACAACAATGGCGGAGAATTTTAGGTGCGTGAGAGCAGACGTAGACGCTAACTCGCATGCGCACTTGTCAGTACCCAGAGAGGAAAAGTTAGACTTTCTTCCCTGTACAGCGGGAGGAAAACCGAACTTTCGGCGCCGGTAGGAGAAAAAAGGCTTTTATATTTGATAAAACAAAAAAATGTACTTAATGATTTTAAAGTGGATGCGATGTGACGTGAAGTGCAACTGCAATTACAGGCACCTTGCTGTTACAACTCGGCGAGCTAAACCACCGCAGGCCGGATCTGGAGCGAGAAATGTCCCAGGACAGTCTGTACCTGGCGGCCGCGGCGAAGCAGTCGTCCACTTCCACGGTAACACATCTCGCACCACACTATTATTTTATTACTGAAAACAATCAATGAACTCAATTTGTGGTTGAATTCGCTTAATATTTTTTGAAGTGACACTTCTAATGAGACTTCCAAGGTGGCGTTAAACGTTTAACGCTACCATGGAATAGAGAGAGACAGAGCGACATTGAATGCGTGGCACTCAAACGCATGCGCGTCGTATACCAGTTACAGGCCAGCGCGAGCGTTAGCAACGAGTAGCGTCCAATATTTTAATGAAGTATTTAAAGAATTATGTCGGAGACGGTCATTAGTTTAGTAGCTAAACGAAACGCAGCACGATTCCCGAGAGATGGCGGCACGATCGTGGTATCGTCGGGACTCGGGACCTAAGAACTGTCATATTTCGTCTGCTAACGTCAACAGAAGATCTTTAAATTTTTCTAAGACAACAAACGTGATTGGTGTACAAAATATTTATCTTAGCTCGATCACCCTATTCGCTTTTACGATGTCTGACGATGGTGTTAATAATTGTGGCTTCTCCGACATATCATCGTACATAACTCATTCATCATGTGCAATTTCTAAAAATAGCCCTTAAAGCCGCTGTTATGAGGTCTAATATGACTAATAGGCACATAATACCTTCATTCAATATAAAAACTCAAAAATCTTAAAAATATTACTTAACCCCCTTTCATCCACTCATGTCTTCAAATACTACCCGCATTTTACCTATTTAAGCCGCAAAACATTCATTAATACCCGTTTGAAGGACATTATAATTCAAATACAATTTTAAAATTAACTTTGAGACCTTCAGACTGCTGCTATAGATCAATTAAAAAAAAAACAAAATTATGTATCTAGATGGATCCAAACGGCAACACCCCAGACGAACAAGAAATTCGAAGGACACAGTCTCAAGAGTCTGAAAGCGTTTGGTCGATAACGTTAGAACAATTCCTGGCCACAATGCTTCTGCAGCCACCCCTAGAAGAATACTTCAACGAGAAGATATCTCTGGTACCGCAACTGGAAGCGCTGAAGCAAAGAGATCGGCTCCACTCCGTCTCGTAGCTAAACTGTCGCGGCTGAACGTTTAAGGTGAGTTCATTATACTGTGTCCTCTGTAGCATGATGCGGGTGACAGTTGCCTGTATGATTTTGACATCTGTCAGTACTACATGACTAGGGATGTGAAAAAATATTTATATATTATTATTTATTTATTACACTTCATGTAAAATTTACATTGGCCTAAAGCCTTTTCTACCAGTCAACCAAAGGTAGTGTTGAGTAAATAGTGGTAGGTGCAATGAAATTTATATTAAATTACAAATACATAAATACATACATATAATAGTATTAAAAGGAATACAGTCAAACCTGGATAAGCGAGAGTTCAAGGGAGCACAATCTCATTCTCGCTTATAGAGGTTTCTCACTAACCCGAGTTTCTCGCTTATGCTCCCTCTGAATTTCATTTCGCGATTTTCCGGATGCATTCACTATTTTAAGTTTATCACTTAATGACAGTACTTTAATTTTCCGTTTTGACGTGATCCAGAACAGAACTTTCTTTCGCAATTGATTAACGATTGAGTAAGTCCGACAAACAGGACGGTACACAGGCACACGTGTCCATTTGAAAAGAATGTGATAAAATAACAACGTCATTTAGTTCCACGAAATAGAATAGGTTTAATATTGACGAGAAAACAATACTAAAACAATGGTAGGAAGTTCCACGAAAGTTAAGAAAGAGTCATAAAATAGCAGATGTTAAATTTGTAATTTATTTTGTCATTTGTTCCTCCTAATAATAGATAAATAAAGCTCGACTGTCGCTTATAGAGGTATAGATAAGTAGCAGTCTCACTTACGGAGGTCCATGAGGGAAAAACGACTCTCTCTTACAGAGGTTTCTGTTTCTCGCTAATAGAGGTTTTGGGAGCTTAAAATGACGGGTCCTGGCTATTACTCTCACTTATAGAGTTTTCTCACTTATCCAGTTCTCACTTACCCAGGTTNTGTCGCTTATAGAGGTATAGATAAGTAGCAGTCTCACTTACGGAGGTCCATGAGGGAAAAACGACTCTCTCTTACAGAGGTTTCTGTTTCTCGCTAATAGAGGTTTTGGGAGCTTAAAATGACGGGTCCTGGCTATTACTCTCACTTATAGAGTTTTCTCACTTATCCAGTTCTCACTTACCCAGGTTTGACTGTATATTAATAAATTCATGACGATTTCGCTAACTTTTTCCGCTTTTATTATACTCGTACTATTATAAAAAACATCGACTATCCGTCATAGCAGTACATGCCATCACTAAATTCTTCTATAGCGTTACGTTATACGCGTAATATTTTGCTTATTTTTTTAATACTATTCATAATTTGTAAATCGCGGCAACTTTGAAGAGTGAAACGAAACGTTACTGAAACTGTCACCCGCCCCATGCTACGGCACGCACATAATAATTGAATATTCAATTTCAAAAAATAATAAGGAATTTGACAAAATTTCAGTGCAAATCTCAAGTTGTGATATTTTTTTGTTCTACTCAATGAGTCTTTGTACAGATTCTAGTGATGTAATCAATTGTAATTGACAGCCTCGACGCGTGTTAGTGAGAAATAAGTCATTAAAAGTTCGTATTAAAATTGTATATTTCGTGCTAATTAAATTCTTAACCGTGTTGAAAATTTGTCAATGTCCCTATTGCTTATTTCAATGTTTATTCATAAGAGATTTTGATGCAGTGATTAATAAATATAAACGGGTATTAATCATCGTCAATACGTGTTGCATCCGCCGTGGTCACGAGTAGACTGATGAAATGCATTGAACAACTACCCTCACTTTGATTAAAATCCGTTTTGATTTAGAAACTACTCTTTGAATGTTTAATTAGAAGCTTTTAGATCTGTATAATGTCAAAATATCATGTTACGGTTTTCGGATGCTTGATTTTAAATGTAAAAAAATAAGTACCTACGTGTTTGCCATATTATTAAAAATTTTAAAAAATGTTAAATGTAATTTTGCAATAATTTAGTTCATTTGTTGTGAGTAATTAAATAATGCCTTTTTGTGATAAGGACTTGAGCTTCCCATAAAATTTGAATTTCTTATACCGGTAGGTCGTATCATACATTAAGTAACCGTTCATAGTCAACAGGATGAGTTTATCCCTTAAACCGTATATTCCGCATTTATGTACGCTATAAAATCGTTTCGGAACTATAGAGAAATAGCGTTATCAAAAATTTGGTACTAGGAAGCGGTCAACGAAATATTACATTCCAATTTAATTTTTATTGTTAGTAAATTGTAATTGAAAAAAAAGGCTACCGTCCGCATTATCTCTGTTTGACGAGTTTAGTGTTTCTAGATATTTTACTAAATACGTGATACGGACAATAATGTTAGTTTTTGTTTCTTCATATATAAAAATACCATAGTCTTTTTTTAGACTTTGGTTAAGGCTGGCTGAGACCTGTAAATAAAATATTCCTTTTTTCATTGTATACTTTTATTAAGTAATCCTTCGTAACAGCTTACCGTCGTTGTCATACCAATACCTTTGTGCGGAAAATATGATTTTAAGATAAAAACGTTTACAAATATTTATAAGATTTTTTTGGCAACCCTAATTCACTGCATAATGTTTAAATTTGCATAGCAGTCTCCTTATACGATAATTTGTTTATTTAAGTATTTATAATAAGAAAAATGATGGAATTCTCCGAAAACTGAACCTAGAACATATTGGTTTGACAACCTCATTGCTTTGGTGAATATTTTAATATTTTTTTTTTTACATGATTTCAATATTTTTTCTATCATCATTATTATTAGAACATTTATGCCATATATGTGTATATTTATTAAGAATAAACGATGAAAAAACAAACAAACTTACTCGCCCTAAGTCACAATTTTTTTTAAGTCGAACACAATCCGTCGAGAAATACCCACTATAAATAGATTCATTTGGTAACTTTTCTTGAAAGCTGTTTTCCTATTGAAAAAACGAGAAATAATTAGCGTATTTTGTTTTAAGTGCAATTTAGATAAACAATTCCTGCACTAATTATTATTAAAAAGCCAATGATTACAAAAATTATATAAATTGTATTTTGAATCTTAAACATAAGGTATATAGTGTATATATTTGAGAGTGCCTACGTTATTGTTGTTGGATGTAGTAATAGCTTTGAAGCATGTATTCGTCCGTCACTGTCGCATCGATAATTATAGACCAATAAAGGATATGTAACAAAAGATAATCTTATTGACAGAAGTTCTGTGCTGTGTGTAGTTCCTTTCCCACTCGCACTTATTACAATTTAGTATATATAAGCAGGACAAACGATTTAACATAGCTAAATGACCAAATTATATCCGTTATAGCGAAATATTTAATAAAATAATGCAGTGTTATTAATATATCGGTGCTTTGCTTGTATAATAAATAAAAATAGGTATAAATCATTATGGGATAAAATTATAGGATTTCAGATATTTTTTAGTGTTGGCAATTCCTAATGTATATTGCCAGCTATCGTGTTCTTTTGTGTTTATTATTGTCTATATAAATTGTTTTTTTTTTTTAGTATAAACTTTGCAAATAAAATACACTGTGGAACAACCGATGATTCCGGACTAAAATTTTATTTGACTAAATATATAATAATTATTATTTATGATTAATTCGATAACTTAATATTTCCGGATTATTTTAGATCTATAGTTTATTTTAGTTAGGATTACGACATCGCCCTGGATGAAACACTTCATAGTTTCATAAATTTAAATCTAGGAATCTGTGTACTAAAGATGCAATAATTTTTTAGTGGTTTAAGATTATATACTGTTATTATATGTAATAGCTTGTGGTACAAATTGTAATATGAAAGCTTTATAAATAACACTATGTTTAAGAAAGTGAATACTTAATAGTTTAAATTTAAAGTGAAATATGTATTTACTCACATGATTTTTTTTGGTTAAAAGGAAAGCCGCCATATACTATTGCAATATTTTCTAATCATGTAATTTAATTTTATATAGCTTTCAGGAGAAGAGTTAAAATAAATTTAGACTATACTAATAGATTTATTTTTATAAAATAGGCTTAAAATACTACTAAATCTCGTCTCTAAAATGCGTACAGTAAATGTTTTTCTCTTTAAGTTTGCATTATAATCGCTTGGTTTACGTTGCTTACCGCCATTCATACGATTAAATATGTCCGCCAGAGCTGTGGTAACTGTTTGTAAAAGGGAACCTGACGGATCGTAATTTTTGTATAATTACCGCGCAAACAAAACTCTTGAATGACGTCACACGTAATGAAGCTGTCATTACTTGTGACGTCATTTGAGGCCAATATACATATTGATTGATTGATCGATCGACCCGCTAACAACGATTTTCCACATGTGATATCATACGTTAGAATTGCTTGTATAAAATATTAGAAATACATACATAATAGATTTTTTTTAATGATTTAAAATAAAAATCATAATATATTTCAAAATGTTCGTTTTAATCTGTATATTTAGTTACTTTTTACATTTTGTTGTCGATGTCCGGTGCAGACGGTGTTGTGGTCGTCGGAAAAAAAATGTAAATTTTGCGATGGTACCACCAACATTTCTTGATTTTCAACTTGTTAATAAAAACATATCTAAGCACAAAATATTTTTAAATGGCATTTCGTATATTTAATAATACTTTTCTCCCTAAAGTACTGATTTTTAATTCTAACGACTTGATTCATGAACTTTTTCAAAACCTCCAAAAAGTGTAGACAAGTGAAAAAAAAAAGTTCTGAGCTAGTGTTACTGCTTTTTTTGGTATTTTGTTTTATTATTGTAGTATTTATTGCCGCTACGAAATTATAATTTTACATATTATAAATCTTTTCAAAAGTGTAACAAAAAAAATTTAATTTGTAGTTGCGATGATTCTATTTGTTTTTTTTTTAATGTAATTAATATTCGCTCGTTTGTCGTCCTATTTCGTAATTAGTTAGTTTCCAGTTAACCAAAACTAAAGCAGTGTACAACAATATAATGTTCGACGTTCGTAAATGTTGTTTTTATTTTACATTTCCCTTTTAATATTTAATTGCGTATTAGAGAATGTTTTTTTTCTTTCGATCCATATAGGCTCACTTGGCTCATATATAACGTGACCATTTTTTTTTCGTGTCAAATATGAAACTGGATTAACAATAAAATTTAAACAATTTTTTTTTTAAATCGTAATGTTTTATTTTTCGAGTGAATGCAAAACGTAATAACTAGGTTCGTCGGTCAAATATAACAGGAGATATAGATTGTCAGAACTTCACAACAATATGTTTTCGTCCATCAGTTATGTGGTCGCCAGTTTGAGGACCCAAGCGTGATTTGATTTTACTGTTGCTCTATCTGGAAGCTCAATTTCAACGTCCCCATTCGTAATCTTCCACTGAAAGAGAGATTGAAGCAAACCAATTATTGGCGATTTGTTGTCAAGTTAATTCTTTTTTTTATTGCTGCAAATAAACATGAGATCGAAGCCATAGCTGAATTGCTTAAATTGAAACAAAAGATCCGATGAAATAGAAAAATAATAATTTATATATATTGTCCTGATAAACAAATGGTAGGTCGAATGTGAAATCACAGGTACCAATATTTTTTTATTTTATTTTTATTGCTTAGGTGGGTGGACGATCTCACAGCCCACCTGGTGTTAAGTGGTTACTGGAGCCCATAGACATCTACAACGTAAATGGCGCATTTACGTTGTAGATGTCTACAACCCACCTTGAGATATAAGTTCTAAGGTCTCAGTATAGTTACAACGGCTACCCCACCCTTCGAACCGAAACGCATTACTGCTTCAGGGCGGAAATAGGCGGGGTGGTGGTACCTACCCGTGCGGACTCCCAAGAGGTCCTACCACCAGTGATTACGCAAATTATAATTTTGCGGGTTTGATTTTTATTACACGATGTTATTCCTTCACCGTGGAAGTCAATCGTGAACATTTGTTGAGTACGTATTTCATTAGAAAAATTGGTACCCGCCTGCGGGATTCGAACACCGGTGCATNCAGTGATTACGCAAATTATAATTTTGCGGGTTTGATTTTTATTACACGATGTTATTCCTTCACCGTGGAAGTCAATCGTGAACATTTGTTGAGTACGTATTTCATTAGAAAAATTGGTACCCGCCTGCGGGATTCGAACACCGGTGCATCGCTACACACGAATGCACCGGACGTCTTATCCTTTAGGCCACGACGACTATATACCTACTATCCATTTTTTTAATGCGAAGTAGTGATATGTGTTGAAGGTAGCATTGGAATATCTACGGGTTCGGGTAACCGCTCAACTTCAGGTAGACTAAGAGCTCATTTGAGTCGACTATTATCAAAGCCGGCAATCTGACTTTTGGACAATGATTGGTAAATCAGAAAAACGAATTATTGACTTTGTATTCCATTGGCAGTCATAAAACTCTTCGGAACGACATCTTAGATATAAATAACAGGTTAACTATTAACCTTTATTTAATGCAGGTTTTGAACCGTATTCTTTGAAGGAGACGATTATATTCAAATCAATCTGTATTGACATATCAATAAAAATTTTTTGTCCAAATGCACAGATTGCCACCTTTGATAATAGACAACCCATTTATTAAAAAAAATATATTGAACACAACTTGTTGATAATAAGTATAGAATAACCGACAACATCGACAGCGCCGGGCTTATCTCGTAAACGAGTAGAAGCTCTTATTATTTTGCTGATTAAAGAACTAGTCCAATCTTTATCTATATGTTTACTTACATTTAAGTATGTTCCTTCGTTGCCTAACATCTCAAGTTGGTTGTATCTACTGCGCAAAGAGTTTGTGATACTTCGAACTGACAGTCTGTTGTCGCTAGGCCATTCGAGTAAAATAGCGTAGATTGCAGCCACTTGTCCACTGCGGTATGTACGTTTCATACTATTGCTTCTATTAATCGAACAAGTGTACCAAACTTTGCCATTTAGAGTGTCGTTTTGATACTCCCACGGCGAGGAGCTGTATATGGCCTCGCCGTTTATTTGGAGCCAATCGCCTAGCGCCAAAAGTCGTTCCTCAAATATCGGGGCGATCGTACCTTCTTTAGTTGGACCGACATTTATGAGCGCGTTTCCTAAAAATCGTTGTTGTTATATTGTAAAGTTACATGATTTTTATTGCCATAAATAAGGTAGGTTATTAATGTGTAGTTCAGGTCAATGGCCAATGAAATTAATGGCAATGAGAAAGATATTACAAGTNTCGCCTAGCGCCAAAAGTCGTTCCTCAAATATCGGGGCGATCGTACCTTCTTTAGTTGGACCGACATTTATGAGCGCGTTTCCTAAAAATCGTTGTTGTTATATTGTAAAGTTACATGATTTTTATTGCCATAAATAAGGTAGGTTATTAATGTGTAGTTCAGGTCAATGGCCAATGAAATTAATGGCAATGAGAAAGATATTACAAGTGCAAGATCTTAGATATCCATTAGTGAAGTACGATCTTACGTTTGCGGATGAGTAGGTATTAGCAGAATATAGAAATAGAAAATGGATTAGTGTGAGTGTTGATCAATAATTGGATTTATTGTGGAATAATTGTTACTCTTTTTTTTCTTGTTTTATGCTTCTGTTGAATATTTAATGAATGTTAATCAATTAATTTTCCTACATGTACATAGGTGTTAGCTGAAGTGTTAATAAATTCACTTGGAATCTCACCCCCGCAGCTAACTGTTGTTACGATTTGTTGGAGCAATTCTTCAATCGTCAATATTTCGCGTATTTGCATATTCCGCCTGTATCCCCAAGATCCGGAGTCCACAGTGAACGCGTTTTCCCACTTATGGTGCAAAAGGACTCCTGTAAAATAAAATTTTGTTATACTGCCTTGTAATCTCATAGCAAGGACGAATCTTTTTTCTTACCAGGGTTAAATCTGTCTTGATGATTGTAGAAATCGCCGTGCTTTCCTGGTATGCCGATGCCCCAACGATCGTTGACGACTACTTCGTCTTTGACAGGGCTGTCGTTGTACAACCAGGCGAGCAGTTCCGTGGACCGCCAGTAGGTGTCGTTCGCTTCCCAATCACCGTCAGACCATATAACGGAGGGCTTGTAATCGTGAACGATCTGTTTTATGTCCGGCCACAGTTTCGTGTCAACGTACGTCTGAGTTTTGAAGGCCTTCCTCTTGTCCTCTTCGTAAATAGGGTTGAACCACTCGTAAAGCGAATGATAAACGCCGAATTTCAAGCTTGTGTTTCGCACCGCCTTAGCCAGGTCCCCGACGATATCGCGTTTTGGGCCCACTTCGACGGAATTCCAACTGAACGAACGTTTTGACGGGAACAAAGTGAAGCCCTCATGATGTTTACTTGTTAGCACTACGTATCTGTAATATCATAATCAGTTGGTCATTTGTACCCAATTATTTATGGTATACTATGTTATATTAAGAGTTTTGTTATGTTACTTTGCTCCGGCTTTTACGAAAAGATCCGCCCATTTGTCCGGATCGAAAAACTCGGCTTTGAATGCGGGTGCGAATTCCTGATAGGTGAATCCTGGAGGATAATTTTTCGTCATGAAATCGATGCATTGTCGGTTACCACCTGAAATTAACGAACATTTAAAGGTGGAAAAGGACGTCAAAGTACCGAAAGGACGGTACCAAAAGTTTTATATGTATAGGTATAGTATATATACCTATATATTTTGCTGGAAGTATTAACCATGTTCGGAATACAATTTTAAGCAGCTAAACTAGCGCAAATTGGACCCAGATTGTGAGAGAGGAATTTTCAATGGGTTAGTAAGACTGGAAATAGATAGAGAAAATTTAGTAATTGCGCGGCAATATGGGGCATGTTAACGAAGATGAGTGCGCAACGATGCTAAAAAAGGTCGTCCAAAAGCGTGGCGTGGGGAGAGCGGTTTACTTAATATATGTTATTACAACTGAGACCTGAGGCTCAGTCTAAGTATCTCCCAAAATATTCATGCGATACTTTCATGGGTTCTAATAACCACTCAATCAGATTAAAACAACAAGAACTAATCTTCAAACGCTTTTAAGTACGAGTATTTACCGAATAATCCAAATCTTATATACTCGTAAAGTCATAAGTTCATAAAAGTGAGAAGTTCATGCTTCGAATTGAATATAAATGGCGAGATATTATACCTTTCCAATTGCTCCAAAACCATTCGGATCCAAAACCGGGCACAGAATAGACGCCCCAATGTAGGAAAATGCCTATTTTTGCTTTATCATACCACTCTGGCAACGGTCGTGTATCCAAATCGTTCCAATCAGGAGAATACCGTTTATTAAGTACTTTATTACGCGAACTATGATCACGATGATTGTATATGGCGCCGTTCACAAATCCGATTAAGAATACCAAGAAAAATAACTTCATCGTTCTGCAATACAACAGTTTCTAAGTAAAATTTCAAAGAAAACAACGTAAATATGTCAACAATAATAAAAGTCGATATCTCTTACAACACATACTCTCCGACAATCAGCTGTTTGTCAAAAGGTTAGAGGGCGACGACACTGTCGTCTGGAAATTTGATTTTTTTAAAGTAAGTATTTATGTTTACAGATCAAGAAATTTAGTACAATAGAATATTTGATACATTATAAATAAGATATAAAACAGTACTCTTTTTTTATGTAGTTAAAACAAAATTAAACGTAAGCTTGTGATTAATAACATAAAATTAATAATGAATAATAAATAATCAAGCCGATTTAGGTTTGCTGTTTGTCGAATAAAGTGAACTGTGTAAAAATCAATACTTAACTATCATATGACATCATAGAGCTGTCTGTGCCTTATGGCAAAGGATGACAGTTTTGAAGACAGGTTTACAGTTCTTAAAAGGGATGAAGGAAAATGTCTAAATACGTAAGTCAAATGAAACAGACAAAAATATGAATTTGATGAAGCAGTGTAATCTATTTTTTATCTCTTGCAATTAAATACCTAATGCAGTCTATAGACATCATATTTTGACCTAGGTATGCAAGTGTGGTGTTCGCTTACGGGGACTCCACCACATAGTCCCTCTTCACACATATAAGCACCTTGGTCTCTGAGGAATGCAGATCCTATTGGCGACCTAGTTCTATCCTATCTATAATAGAGACAAGGTCGTCTTCGTGACAATTTTTTTTCCTACCTGTGCTTGAGCCTTGAGAGGCTATTTCAGCTTCGCCCTAACATGTAGGTGAGCTAATGGGGCTCAAACCGGAGTGTTGCTAACACTGGCCCTAGCAAGAGCAGTGCTTCGCAGAATCTACCACCGGATCGGAAACGCGACCCACTGAAAAGATCCGGCGAGAAACTCAGTGGGCTGTGTCTATGGGCTAATTTGCTCGTCGAGCCCTTCGTCGCAAGCGACTGGTTCGACGAGGACGGTGACCGGTGCTTGTTGTACCTTTGTAAAGCACCGTTAATGGATTGGGAGGATTCGTAATGACGTGTTTTGGGCGACGTCGACTATTTCCCATTCAGTCTACAGGATGGGATATGTAATTCCCAGCGGCCACGACCAAAGGGTTCTCATGTCGTGCAGCCTTCTCAAAGTGACGCAATGATACCGGCTGTAGATACTTACTGACTGAGTTCGTAACAATAATGCGTTATAATAATACCATTTTCGTAGTTACCATTCACCACTGCCTCTGTCTGATGCTCTAGATATATCTAGACGTATTGTAATGAATGATACTATTTCACGATGTTCGTTAAGCTCGACAACGTTCGCACTACAGCTGTTAACAAACACCCCAAGGCTGAGCCCTTGAGCTCACCTAACTGCCCTGGTGAAACCAGAAAAGATTCTGCGCACAAGCAATACCTATCTTTGTCCAAAGAACATACGTGAGACTACTTCGAACAAGAAATAGCGCGGCTGTGTAAATCGCACGGGCACGTCACCTAAGCGAGTATGTTATTCTTCAAGTTTACAGGTGCTGAATAATGAAAATGTGTTATAATTGAAATAGGTACAATATAAATCTGGGAGATTCGTCAAAAATTCAACTCTACAACAAATAAACTCTAATTTAAGCTACCTTTGCGATTTAATCTCGGATTTTTTTTATTCATATTATTTTCGACAAAACTAATTCGGCACATTACAAATAACAGAATAACAATAAAAACACGATATTAAACCGTAAAAGCAGTTATCATCGTGTGTCAAAATACCGTACACAACAATGTTGATTTATATTAATTTATTGTTCAACCGAAAATATTTCAAACCTTAAAATTGACTAACATAAGTTTTAAAATACCCAAATTTGAACGGCTTTTTGGAATAATTAATTGTGGTTTTTTTCTTTCACATATTTCGATTACATAGTTTGATAAAAATTGTTCATAAACCATTTTACCGGCATGAGGTGATTGTACTGTTTTGTAATGCGGTATAAGATAAGAGGAAAGAACCTGCCTATTACTGTGGCGACTGAATCCTAAAATAACAAGAATTTAGGTATAAACCCTTTTTCGAAGATTAGTCATGTTAACCTATATTATGTATAAAATAACATTTAAAAATATAGTTTTTTTTAGCAACACTTAATCTGTAGTTAGTGTAAAATTAAACTCTTTATATTATTTAGTATTTTAAATTATACTCACCATTAGCAGTTTATGTTTCTCTTCAATAATTCGTAGCCGAGCCTAAAACACTAATAATTGTATGCAACCATTCCCTGTTCGATTTAAATAATAACTGACTAGTGGCGTGACCAGAGAGCATTGCCCCTCACTTAAGCATTGTGCTGTTATCAATGACCAATGGGTAAATATTCCTACGTCGACGCAGAATGACTAGCCAGGGCCGGACTTACGTTAAGTACGTCGCTCCGTCACATTGTATAAACGCGGCTTTTGTAATTATATTAGAAGTTATAAGCTATTTCGATAAGGCCGCACGACACTAGAACCCTCTCATCGTGGCCGCCGGTAACTACCTTCCCGATCCTGCGGACCGAATGGTAAGCAGTCGACGTCGCCCAAAACACGTCTTTTCGGATCCTCCCGATCCACTAACTTCCACTAACTGCTTTTAGGTACCCCAAGCACCGGTAATCGTTCTCGTCGAACCCGTCGCATGCGACGAAGGGCTCGCGAGTAAATTAACCCACAGACACAGCCCACTATGTTTCTCGCCGGATCTTCTCAGTCGCGTTTCCGATCCGGTGGTAGATTCTGCGAAGCACTGCTCTTGCTAGGGTTTGTGTTAGCAACAACGTCAGGTTTGAGCCCCGTGAGCTCACCTACTCGCCCGGTGACGCTGATATGGTCTCTCAAGACCATCAGCTTAGGAAAAAAAAGGAAGTTATAAACAACTAACATTAAACATCAATCAAGAAGAAAGCAGTATTACTGTAAATAAAAAAAAACTTTTTAGGCGAGAGCAATACAAACACTAAAGTTTCGCGTTTAAGATAAACAAATTTATTGTAGGTACTTCTTAGCTATCAATATTCGCATTACGATCATACGTCTTCTCAAAGCTTTTTGGATAGCACAAATATTTTTTCCTTACACCCCAACTTTGGCCTTTGGGAATTTGGCCACCATGGGCCCCGAGTGTCCTCAGTGTAAATTCAACACTGACTATAGCAAAGGCTACATTATGTTTATGTTTACATTGTCGCTATGAGTGTGGCCGAAGTTCGTAAAATCGTGATTTATTCAGGCGATTACGTGGTCATACTGAACATAAGATTAGCCAAGCGAAGTGTTACGAATAACATTTTTCAGAGTTATCTAAACATCAATAAAAAAACATGCGATACATCCCATTGACACATTAATTTAAATTTTAGGGTGTCGTATAGATCTTCACTCTTAAAGGTCTTATTAGATCAATATTAGTTTATTAAATTTGATAGTGACTGTTAGATGCTGTATCAACGTAAATTATCACTAAATAGAACTACAAAACTATTATAAATATAATTTTGATAAATAGTAAAGCAAGAAATTTTTTTAAATGGCAACATTGGATCCGGCGGTGTGCCATGCATGTACCATAGAGTACAGTAATGCTTCACAGACTCAGATATTTAATTCTACGATCCAAAAATGCTACCTGACTATTTGGCGGGAACGCGAAGAGCGAAGTTGTTTTCATTATTTTAATTCTAATGATTGTTTCTGTAGGTATTAATATGTAATAATTGTGGCTTGTCAACCGTATAGAATCTTTGAAACTGCACAAGTGTGGAAAAATAAAATAAACTCGTTACACATGGCCTCTCATGTTTCTCTAAAAGTACACACAAGCGTCATTATATAACCACCGTTTTACTGAGCTTTTATTTCATCCTCATTCGTTTTATTTAATTTCATCACAATTTATAACAGTCTTCAATAATTTAGCATCATCTCATTTCGCTTCATACCATTTATAAATTAACAGAATAATATGTTTATACAGGTGTGGAAAAATTTGTCAAAGTCGCTTCACATGGCTGCTGGCATTCTTCTAAATAGATCGCTGAGGTATTTCTAAACTTACACCATTTTAGACCGTATCATTCTATTTGGTTTCCTCTAATTGATTTTAATTTCTTATATTCATTAGCATTTAATTTTTATAACAAAAATTGGATAGGTATAAATACGATTGACGCTTTGGTAAACTAAACCCAGACAACAATATCAGCGCTAGATTTTGCCAATGTAATTTTTTTAAAGGGATTTTATGACCTGGTAGCTAAGACACATCTTATTTAAAATTTATATTCTTAATTTTATTGAAAATGATAATATGGAGTGAAATGAAATGAAATAAAATGAAGATGATTAATTTGAGACATTAATTAACTGGGATGAAATTAAATGAAATCAGATGAGATGATATGGGATGAAATATAATCTCAGTAAAATGCTGGTAATTTACTGACATTTTTTCAGTGGACTTTTTGGAGGAGAACGCGAAGAGTGAAGTTGTGTGATTTGTTTTATTTTGTCTATTTAGTGTTTCTTCAGGCTTAAATGTGTAATAACGGTAGTTTATCAGCTGTTTAATATCTCTGAAAGTGTACATATTTGGGAAAATGAAGCAAAGCTGCTGGATGTAACTTCTTGGGATCCTCCAAAAAGTCAACTGAAAAAATCTCAGTAAGCTTACTGAGTTTATAATTCATTCCGTATCATCTCATTTCATTTAATTTCATCCCAGTTTTAATGTCTCAAATTAATTGTCTTCATTTCATTCCATCTCATTTCATTTCACTCCATATTATCATTTTTCATAAAAATAAGAATCTAAATTAAAATAAAACATAACCTAAAGACCTTAGTTATAGTCATAATATCCCTAAAAAAATTACATTTAAGTTACCGTACCTATTTGAACATTTTGACGGGAAAGCGAGGTGTAAAGTTGTGTGAATTGTATTATTTTGATAATTTATTATTTTTTCAGGTTTAAACATGCTAAATGTATAAATGGCGTCGGAAAATGCACGAATGTGAGGAAAAGACACAAAATCGCAGGATGTGACGTATCGGGTTTATACGAAAAACTCATTGAACTCTCGATAAATTGACATTATTTCATCTTCTTCTTCGACTTCAGTTCATTTTATTTCATCTCATCCAATACTTATCGTATTATCTTGTCTCTACTTGTTTTATCCCGTTTAATGTCATTTATTTTTACATTACTTTTGCTTGTCAAATAGATGAATTCTTTTTTTAATTACTTAACTCGTAAATTCTATATTGTCCATGAGCGGCTGCAAGGCATACCTACCTATTTGTTTTATACTCATCTAAGGAAACATTTTAAAATTAACTCAACTCGTACTGATATCTGTCTAACTTGATGGTGTAATTAGCGCCTCTGACTGTTGATCCGAGGGTTGAGGGTGCGTTATGAACATGTTTCTTTGCTCTTTGGTGTATAATATTTATGTGTGTATTTCAATCTGGTTCTGACAGTACAACGATATCTTAGTTGGGTGACTTGCCTTAGGAATACATAAGATTCGCGGCACTCATGGATTAGCCGGTGCAGGAGGGGCTCGTCGGATTACCTACGACGGTTTTTTGGAACGAAGTTCCTTATCGTGCGTTGCGAAAGGGGGCTAGACGGAAAAAATTAAAACAAAAAGTTGTAAGCTCTGCGGCGTGCGCGTGTTTCTCTGTCTGTCTCTCTCTCTCTCTCTCTCTCTCTCATAGAAAGCAAGCCAGTTATTTTCGTTTCGTCATTCTATTTCGCATTGAACAGTGTGTTGTCGCGACGATTATTTTTGTTGAGTGTAGACAGGTTTTCTGTACATAACAAATATTTCTTTTTTTATTACAAATCCTTCACTAATTAATCGAAAGGAACTTCGTTCCATCCGGGTGTCCCTTGACACCTCTCAAGTTTTTTTATTTTTTATTACCTGACCCGGCCGACTTCGTAGTGCCTCAATCGATAAATAAACGACCGAAACTTTTGTATAAAATAAACTTAAAACAAACAAAAGGAATTCGTCTGTCGAGGGACACATCAAACGAAAAAGAAAATTGTTATTTTTATTTAATTCCGAACCTTTACATGTTTATCTACCTTTTAAACCTTCTCTGGACTTCCACAAATAATTCAAGCCGTTCTCGAGTTTTAACGAGACTAACGAACAGCAATTCATTTTTATATATGTATATAGATTTTTCCGTTAAGCAGGCGTGCATACGGCCCTGATGGTGAGTGGTTACCGTCGCTCATGGGCGTCAGCAATGCCAGGGTCAGAGCCAAGCCACTGCCTACCATTGAGTACTCTCCGCAAGCCTCGTTTGAAGAAGGACATGTCACAGCACTCGGCAAAGACCTCGGAGGGGAGTTCATTCCAAAGCCGTATGAGGCAAACAAAATCTCTGGAAACGCAGTGGCTCCAGGTAGTATAGATAAGCTCTACTTCGATGGCGGTGCGATGGTAAAAACGAGATGATGGCATCATCTGAAACAATTCCTCAGGGCGCTCCCCATGGAACATACGGTACAAAATACAGAGGGAACCGAAGTCTTTCCGCAGGCCCAGAGGTTCCAAACGATCCGTGAGAATGGAATTATCGACAATTCAAACGGCTCTCTTCTGTATGGAATGAAATGGAAGTAGTTGGTATTTATTTGGGAGCTCCGGCCCTGAGGTGGGAGCAGTGCTCCACGCGAGGCCGGACCTGTGCTTTGTAAAGCAAAAGTCTTTGTCCAGGCGTGAAGTAACGCTTCGCTATGTTGAGTTCTCCCAGCATTTTTGACGCCAACTTGGCTTTGCCCTCCAAATTACTCCGAAGTTGGACATCGCTCGAAATGTCGACCCCAAGTAACTCCAATACTCTAGGAAGGTTACAGGGATACTCCTTGGAATTGCGGCACTATGACAAAGGAGTCCTTCTTCCCCTTCTTCGTCTCAAGACGTTTCTCCGAAAGCGACAGGTTGGACATAGCCCGGTGTAATTTCCCATCAGTAGGTTACTCTTAAACAGATTTTTCAAAGTAAAGACATGATTATTATTTACTAAATTCGACTCCGTGATGCAGTCGTCAGATTTAGCACGACTAGATCAATGAAAAAATTGCAGTTTGATCGAAAGATGACAAAATGTTTGTAGTAAGAAATCGCTATAGATGAACACATATAGTAGTTTAAACTTCCAAGTAACGTGGATGGACTCCTCTTCCGTGGCAACATTTTTTTACATATCTAAGTAGGTAGATGACCCGACTAACTCAAGATGTTCTTTTCTGTGTCCTAAATATGGCTTGCCTATAAAATACTGCATGCTACTGGTATGTAGGTAATGACGAAGTTTCTACTTTTTTGAGCATTCAGCCAGAAATGGAGTTCGATAAACTTAAGTCTAAATAAAAACAGTTCAACTTAGCTTTTTAATTATACGTAGGTATTGTAGCCTACGAATTAGGTACCTAGTTATTTATGGACGATTACGATTTACTTGTCCGAATTTCTAGGAAAATATGTAGTTTCCATTGGACTTTGCGTCAAAATGTATGCTTTAAGAAAGTACAAAAAGGATCTAAGTTCTCTAAGCGGCATTTATTACCCTTTTTGTCGATGACATGCAGAATTATTATTTAAAAGCGATGGTAGGTCTAGTTTATAGTCATTCGCTCTAGCTTTAAAACATTAGNCGATTACGATTTACTTGTCCGAATTTCTAGGAAAATATGTAGTTTCCATTGGACTTTGCGTCAAAATGTATGCTTTAAGAAAGTACAAAAAGGATCTAAGTTCTCTAAGCGGCATTTATTACCCTTTTTGTCGATGACATGCAGAATTATTATTTAAAAGCGATGGTAGGTCTAGTTTATAGTCATTCGCTCTAGCTTTAAAACATTAGGTTTTTTCCGTTACCTATAGGTAGTTTCGTAAGATAGATACCTACAATTTCAAAATTTAGCATTCGTATCAATTCTTTTTCGTGTATAAGCTAGTACTTAATAGTAATGGTATATCATAGAAATTAATATGTCTAGGCATGGATTGCTTTCAAAGAAATCTCGGTTTATACACATTATGACCAAATTATACCACAAACCAAAGGAGAAAATTAGGAAAATAGATGATGAATTTGACGCCGATAAGCGTTTCCATTATACTTTGAAATAGCTGAACTATCCAGGTAATTCGGTATACGGGAGATCTGCCTAGACTTGGGAAAAGCACAACGCTTCAATTGTATCCCACGTGTCAGCCAGTTTGCAGATTCGAAATTAGTCTCATTTAAAATTGACTATATGCTAGTTTTGTGCATTTTGCTACAACATTAATTAGGGTACAAGATAATAGCTTTTTTTCCAACCCTATTAGATGATGTTTCCCTTTACTTGAAATCATTACTGCCGCATTGGAATAACAATATCATAGCTAAGAAATGAAAAGCAACATCTAATTCGTTCACATTTATTTACAGACTACAATGTGAGGGATCAGTCACATTACAAAACAAATGTTCTACCGATAAAATATTTACAATATTTACATTCACATAAAATGCATTATCGCACACCTACTATGCTATATTCATAAAAATCATAATAACTAAGAAAAGGAACAAAACAACAATTAAGGAACAATACAATGTTCGGAATCCCCATTTAAAATAAATCAATCACATAAAATAACTTATAGTTCGTATTTACAAAAGAACTAACATCGGTATTAAAACCAACAGTATATTCACAGTTTCAAAATCAATATGAGTCTTCTTTTGTTATTTTTGTTTTTAATGCCTACCCTTTATTTAGTGTTTCAAACTAAAATTTCTTCAATGCATGCATTGCTATCACGACAGGACCTTTACAAAATAAATAAATAATCTTACATTTATGTGTCTTATTATTAAATTCAAATATCAGGTAAAACTTATTCCATATAATACAGCTTTCATTTCAAAACTGACTTTAAATGGATGCTTCGGTTCCAAAAAGTAACTGTCAGGAACATTTTCTGATGACATTATTAGGAAATTTCAATTATTCTTAGCATATTTTATCATTTTACTATAATTTTTTTACCATTTCAATGCTTGTAATAATTGTTCTCTTATAAAGTTGATTTTTTTTTAAATTGCGAGTAAAACAATGAAGGTAATAATAATTCCTCATGCTCTATTTCACAGAATTTCACAATTGTTACTCTTTGGAACTCAAGAAATTGGATATGGTGTTTTATTGTTACATAAATCAAGAGATTCGATAGCTTTATCATATGGGAAAATGCAGGTAGAAACTATGTGATGACTTTAAATATTCTTCTTAATGCCCGCTTACTCTAAAAACTATAGGAGTAATGTAGTAATGAATAATTTTATGGTTTTTATTCATTTATAAAAATACAATTTGTTATGTACATAAACATATTATATTTGTTAGTGGAGTCGTTTTGTATACTTTGAGACATAACATTAATGCAGGTACCGAATACATTTTTTGTGAAAAACCCTTCATTCAACCTTTGAAATAATAATATTTTAGCACATAATTTCTCTTTAGGTACAGTTATTTTTTCTTCTTATTAAATTTAACATATAAAATATAGAATTTGTTAACAATTGACAACAACATTAAGTATTCTGTAGGTTTTAAGGTGGTCAAGTTCACAGGTATAATCTTTTACAAACGTTACAGACTTATATAAAGTGACTCTGTTTCTGTAACATTTCCAACAGATTGTCATTTATAGAATCTCTACAATCGACTATGCAACAAACGTAGCTCAGATGTCACATCATTCTTTAGGCCTACACTAGGACCCGGGATCGCTTCCCATCCTTTCATATCACGTCATAAAACAAAACAAAATAAATACTAGCTAACTACTATACAACGTTCAAGGCAGGGTAAGCTATACAATGATTGGCACTCTAAATGTTCTGGTATAATCCATTGGCACTGAAGGATGATATTAGCACTATAAAGTACAATTCACTGTCATTTTCAAACCATCAATCTAATTCAATTTTTCTTCTCAATGTTTTATTTCTTTTTCTTTAGCCCTTTTGTTTTCCTGTTCTTTCATTGTGATCGTCTCATCTACACGAATCAAGTATTATATTAGAAAATAACAGTAAAATTTTCAAACGATATTCGATGTTGCTTGTATAAAGATAAACACTTATTTTAAAGTCAAAGTACCAATCAGTGGAGGCGTGCCAATAATAGTATCGTTTACCCTATAACACTTTGTTTATTTTTATGTGGCGTCGAGCGGTCGGGGCTCGCGAGACCTGAAGAAACCCTTCTCCGTGCGACATTCCGTGATCGTAACCGTCTGTAGGTTGACTGTCACGTCCGTTATGAAAATTTGATCTGCTACCGGTGATCGTGCCATCCAGTATGCAGCACCTCGCTTGGCAGCCGGAGCCGATGCCGGCGCGGGCACCGCCACTGGTGCTTCTCCCCATGAATCTTCGTCTTCGGGTTGTGGCGCTTGAGGCGCAGGACGAGCGCCTTTGGGCTCGGCAGGCGCTGTCGCTGTTGGTTGTGTTTCAGTGCGCCTCTCCCGCTCTGGAGACGTGTGCGTGTCTGCTTCTTCAGGTGAGTGAGGCGCTCGCCGCGGCCCCGATCTTGGTGCAGCGGCCTCAGCGGCGGGGGAAGTAGGAACAGCGGCGCCGCCCGGTGCTGCGGCCGGTGGGGGCGGCAGACTGACCTGGGGCGTTCTTGTGCCGTTCAACTTAGATTCGTGGCGCTTTGTGGGCGGACTCATAGTGATGGTCACGCCGATCTTGCCCGACTCCCTAGAGAGGACTTCAGCTTTGCGCTTCCCGGGCGGAGGGTGGCGTTCCTCGGAGCCGCTGCGCGCGCGCTCCACGGACGAGTGTTCCCGCTCGCGTTTCCGGCCCTGGCGTCGGACCTCCTCGCCTTTCATGAAACTCTGTATGAGCCGAGGATCCAAAATGTTCTCCTCCGGTTCCCACGTGTTGTGCTTCGGTTTCCACCCTTTCCATTTCACGTAGTACTCCACCTTGTTCTGAAATGAGAAACGCGGACCGTTAATTTCACTGGGTCAGGTCGAATTAAAAGTGGCGGGTGGCGTGAAGGGCTGGCGAAGCGCGACTGGCGTTGGCGTGCAACAACCAGGGAGGGTTGCACATAGCTTTGCAGATTGTATGCGATATACATATTAAATAGCCGCGATGAATGTTCACGTAGACGGGCCGCGAACGGTTGCGGGTATTTCTGTATCGTGTTACAAAAGCGAAACCTTATAATATCATGAATCGGTTGCAACAGATCGATGATTTATAAAGGGAATGACGTCGGGAAACGGGTATCGGTTAGGTTAAATGTAGGTATAGTTCGCGAGTTCATTTTGGGCGCACCTGCTCGGAACAGCTGGCGCGGCTATCTCCCTCGGCGTCCAGTGCGAAATGCGGCTCTATTGCGCAAGGCATAACGCCTTTAGTGAAGCACACATGCAATTCAGCCAAGCTAACATGCAACGCAATCAACATTCTCGGTAGGGCTGCGATATTTAGGCAATGGATTCCTGGCTGTATGGTTTTTTATTAATGTTGTCAATAATAGTGTAATATTCTGAAAATCGTCGTCAATCATTCTAAATTCGTTTCAATTAACTTTTCTAGTGAATGCCAAAGCTTATTTAATACATTTGAGATTTGAAAATGTCTTGTTATATTAAAAATAAATAATTCTTTTAAACCAAATCATTCTTGCTCAGTAATGTTAACAACAGTAAAGGAATTTGTATAATTTTAAAGGAAATTTTGAAAATAACATATTATACTCGTAGGTAAGCAGCGGTAGGCAGCGGCTTGCCTCTGTCCCTGGTATTGCTGCTGTCCATGGGCTACGGTAACCACTCACCATCAGGTGGGTCGTATGCTCGTCTTCCTACAATGGCAATAAGAAAAAGGTAGGAAAAGAAACTATTTCAAAATCCATCATAACTTTTCAAAGTTCCAAGCAAAATTCAATCGAATTTTTTTTCTAGAATTTGCTTCGCTTGAGCTTTATTAAACCTTCGGACGCACTAACAAAGTTCAATTTCTATCGCAACGGCGGGTAGATAGGCTGTATTGGAGTTGCGGTGAATATTTGAAAGGCTGCGGCCTTATTGGTTTTCGATGTAGGGTGAGGTGAAAAGTTGGAAGGAAGCCTTAGCTTTGTCACGGCGTACTCTTCGATTAATTTTATAAATCACTTTATTTTATGAATATCATTACAATGTGAAGTGTATTAATATCTATTCACTTAAATGTCTCATTCGATTACAAACTATGGCAATAAAAAAAAAGATTTTTTTTAGAACATATAAACCAAATGAAAAAAATTATTTTATACCTTTTTTTTTATAAATATGGATACACTGGATTTATTTTTTAATAATTCATTTAAAAACTTTATATGTAGCTTTGTGTGTTGAAATCATTAGCGGCATAAAGAAAGCGCAGCAGTTTCTCCAAAAAAACCTGTCACAATCATGGTTGTTTGATTTTTTTTTTTTTTTAAGACTAAGTTTCTCTGAGAAAATGTTTAGATAGATGAGTCTTAAAAGTGTACAAAGTCATGACTATCCTCATGCTTTGAGTTGAAATTAGAAATGTTTCTTGAGGTTATTAATAAGATCATAACAAAACTGACATTTGAGTCGTACAGAATATATAAAAATATAGGCCAAAGTATCTGTTTGAATAAAGCCAATGATGACGTAATTTGAGGAGAAATGTTAAAACATAGGTCAAATGTCTTTGATTGACAATGTCTGTAATTTAAGATTACTCGAAATAGTTTTTCATATCAAAGAAAATAATACTTTTGCTATTGTCAGTGTAAATTCGAGTTCTTAGTAGATTCATAAATATGTAACTTAATTTTTTTGTAAGCTGGTTTTAAAACTGGCGGTCTTAAATGTCATTTCAAATAAATTTCTATTTAAAGATTTCCAGGATAGACGCATACTTACTCCTTTTATGACAAATATTTTGTTGAAAAAACTTGAAAGTATACGTCATAAAACTATTAAGTAAAACTATATAATTATCACTGATAAAAAATGAAAACAAAAAACGCAAAAGTAATAACCAGCTGTACCTAAGGTGTGTTATAAAATGATTAATTACTAATATAGGCACCTGTGGACAAAGTCATTGTCAAAAAAAAGTATGCATCAGGACGTGTGGGCAAGGTGAGGTCGTGCGGCTGATGGGCGACGATTGGACGAGGCGAGGGGCAGGCGGGACGAGGGGGAGGCACCCCCGCCACGCACCCCGCAAACCAACCCACGCGGTGCCCTATATAACAACGATGAGCTTAAAGTGGTGGGAGTAAAGTTCATAATGCGATAGGCGGAGGGTAAATACAATGTGGTAGGATTTTATGGTCGCGATCGCGCCATGGGCGGACCGTGCATCGGTGCAGACGTCAATTAACGCTAATCGGGACTGTAGCGCTGTAATTAGTACCTCGATAATTAATGCTAATCCTGTCGGCGTTGCTCGGATTAAAGCTTTCGTGATCCTGTGCTTGAAATTCGCGAAAGGTGTTTAGAAACAACAAGAGGACGAATCCTTCAAATCTGACAAACAGATAAAACGCATCTGCATAATTAATCTTTGCATACCTCGTATTAACAAAATTAATCTAACGCATTACTCCAAGGCATACATGAACAAATTTAGATAATTTTAGTTTTTTTCTTTTCTTATCAATATTTTTATTGTTATCGCGTAGAACGAAGAACGTGCCTACCTAGGTTACGGGGCACGTGGACTTCACAACTTGAATGACACCAGCCATCCTTAAGATGTGAGATCGAATTACTTTTTTACTACCTAAGCTGATAGATAGCCTTGAAAGGCTATGTCAGCGTAACCGGGCGAGTAGGTGAGCTCACGGCGCCCAAGCCGGGAGTGTTTCTAACACTGGCCCTAGCAAGAGCAGTGCTTTGCAGAATCTACCACCGGATCGGAAACGCGACCCACTGAGAAGATCCGGCTAAAAACTCAGTGGGCTGAGTCTATGGGTTAATTTATTCGTCGAGTCCTTCGTCGCAAGCGACATAGTTCGACAAGAGTGTTTGAGGTACCTAAAAGCACCGTTAGTGGATCGGGAGAATCCGAAATGACGTGACGAATTACTGAATGCGTGTCCTACTACCAGTAAAACTGACTACTAGACTGCTTCCTTTGTCTATCGCTTTTTTTTCGTTTTCGAACGCGAAATTAGATCTAATGTCTACATACTAGTTGTGTCACTAGTAGTCACTATCTTCTAAAACAATTTTTTCATATTTTTATGTATGTAATATCAGTAGGTATTGAGAAATAAATGTATTTAAATGTAAATTGTTTTTAATGTGTCCGAAGTCGACGTAGCCTAAAAGATAAGAAGCACGGTTTATCGAGTGATGCCACTATATCGGTGTTCAAATCCCGCAGGCAGACGCCGATTTTTCTTTTAAAATACGCCCTTATCATACCTATATCCACGAACGTTTCAACGTCGAAGCAATAACATCGTGTAATAATTGTCAAAGTACTACATAATTGTCACATAGGCCTCTAGTATCAAAGTTTCAAAGCCAGCATTCATGCTGTGTTGTCTACGGGTAAACAAGGAACCTTAAATGGGTTTCGTTGTAATTGTCTATGCGACAAAAATAATTCATAGTTATTCGGAATGCCCTCTCTGATTTTAAAAGCTAGCCCCCTCCCATGTCATTCTTCGATGATAGGACACGCGTACGTGGTGAGACGCGTATAATTGTCCACTGCTTTAATAGGAATTGCTTTGAGATTTAGGTTACGCTGAAGGTATGTGACAGGCGATCCACCAGCTATGCATGTTGGTGCCGAGCAGACAATAAATCTTATTCGAATACACAAAATCAGTATCGATTTTTCGAAGATTATTTAAGTAAAGAGTCTCTTATATATTTATATTATATGTTATATTTACTAACGATCACGCCACGTTAACTGGTCCCGTGCTAAGTTCGTAAAGAACTTGTGTTACAGGTAGGTACCAGATAACGGAAATAAATGTAAGATTTTTATTATACACATACATATATTTAATATACATCCATAACCCTGGGAAGGACATTTTATATTTATCATACAAATATCTTCCCTTGGCGGGATTCGAACCCGCGATCCCCTTGTGTAGTGACCATGTCACATACCACTACACCAGACGGCCGTTATTGTCTGTATATCAAAAGAACAGAGTTAATTTCGACAGAAAACTAATAAAATAGGTGGAAAACGTGAGGGATATACTAACGCTGAACTCGCTAACCTGCTCGCGAGATTATAAACTGTGTTGTCGGAAAAACATGCGGTATTTTTGTCAATGCGTACAGTTTTAACGAAACTCTGGATTCGATAATGGTTACACTTAATACAGAATACCAACGAGTTTTTAGTTTTAGGATAGTGTGATATAATCACAATATGTAGAATCATGAATGCCTCGATATTTCGCAGTTCAATTTATTTTATTCGTATTTTTTATTTATTTATTGCATAAATGAGTGGACGAACTCACAGCCTACCTGCTGTTAAGTGGTTACCGGAGCCCATAGACATTTACAATGTAAATGCCGCAACTCACCTTGAGATATGAGCTCTAAGGTCTAAGTATAGTTACAACGGCTGCCCCATCCTTCAAACCGAAACGCATTATTGCATCACGGCAGAAATAGACAGGGTGGTGGTACCTACCTGTGCGGACTCACAAGGGGTCCTATCAGCAAAAGCTTAGTAAGTATAGCTTCCAACATAAATTAATTAATGAAGATTACATTAAACCAAACAAAAAAATTAGCCAAATCAAAATTACATCAATGTATCTGCTATGCAAATTTTGAGTTTTTTTTTAAATATTTTATAATTAGCTATGATAAACCTTTAACTATATGTACAAAAGGGATTAAGAATCATAGTTTCATAGTGGTGTGAATGATTGAGGACTCAGTATCCAGCCGGTCTTTCACTGATCGATAAA